CTTCCCACACATGCAGTGTACTTTGTATTTTAAAACTGAGCCTCTGTGATGAACGCTTTACAAGATATTAAGTGACTTTGTGCACGATGTCAAGTGCCTCCTATGTTTTGGAGTGAACAGCTACAATTACCACAGGCAATGCCACCATGCCATGTCAGCGGGCACCAGTCACTGACATGAGTGCCAGTGTGTTTGGAAAGGTGAGAGCGCTTCATGCTCTGTTTGCGTGTGCTTTGCACTGTTGAACAATCACAATAGGCCCTACGCCACCCATGGCAGTATGGGAGAACAACAGTGCAAAAGCTCCAATAGTGTGACCTTGACATGAGGTTCGTGCAGGCTGCAGTGACATGACGAGGAGGACAGTGACATGACGAGGAGGACAGTGACATGACGAGGAGGACAGTGACATGACGAGGAGGACAGTGACATCACGAGGAGGACAGTGACATGACGAGGAGGACAGTGACATGACGAGGAGGACAGTGACATCACGAGGAGGACAGTGACATCACGAGAGAGGACAGTGACATGACGAGGAGGACAGTGACATGTGACATGACACAGAGGAGGACAGTGACATGAGATGACATGACAGAGAGGAGGACAGTGACATCATGACATCACGAGGAGGACAGTGACATGACAGTGACATGAGGAGGACAGTGACATCACATGACATCAGAGGAGGACAGTGACATGACGAGAGGACAGTGACATCATGAGAGGACAGTGACATGACAGGAGGACAGTGACATGACAGGAGGACAGTGACATCACTGACATGGAGGACAGTGACATGACATGACAGACAGTGACATGACGAGGAGGACAGTGACATCACGAGGAGGACAGTGACATGACGAGGAGGACAGTGACATCACGAGGAGGACAGTGACATGACAGTGACATGACGAGGAGGACAGTGACATGACGAGGAGGACAGTGACATGACAGTGACATGACATGAGGAGGACAGTGACATCACGAGGAGGACAGTGACATCACGAGGAGTGACAGATGACAGAGAGGACAGTGACACCTGACACAGGTTAATGCAAACACTTGGGGAATGTGGTGTGGGGCGTCATCTGCTGGACATTTCATGCAATTACATTAAAACCAAAATCAAAAAAGGATTTTTATGGAGTAGTCAGTGGATGGAGTGGAGTAATATTTTATTTTAGTTTTTTAATTAGTATTTTTACTTCACTACATTTTCGAGCAGGAGTTTATAGGCTACTCCTACTCATAACATTAATCATTTTCTTTCTTTATGTAAACATATAGCCTATTCCTTCTTGCTTGTTACCAAAGTTGAGGGTTCAAATCTCATAGCAAAAAAATACAAATCTGTTGAACCCATGTGAGCTTTTAGCTATGTTATAAAGTTATAAAGTTATAAAGCTCAATATGCTCTGCTCCACCTTGTTATGTCATGTACTGTGTAAGTTAACAGTTACCTTTTACCTTTTACCTTTAGTTCAGTAGAAATGAGCAAACAGTGGAGCACTTCCCATATTACCACATGATGTCACAAGTTGAAACAGAGTGTTTTCTGTTTGAGACAAGAGCTCATCTTAAATATGCAGAGTTTGTGTGTTTAACATGTGTGTTTCTTCTTTTTGCATCTATACTTTCAATAAATTACTTCAGGTTTAGTCTCCTATTCTTCCCATCTCTATATTGTGTAAAATGTCCTATAGGATCTTACACAAAATTGGCTTTAAGTCATGTTATAATGTTGTTATCTCCTCAAAAACAGACCTGGGGTTATGTTAAACCCAGTTTATTAGTCTGTCCACATCTCCAGTGCTCAAAATGTTCTCTTCCACCTTGTGATGTCATGAAGTGATAGTTTTCAAGTGAACAGCTCCTTTTACCTTTAGTTCTGTAGAGATGTGCATTTCCAGGTCTGAAATCATCTAAATGGTTCTAGTGAAGGTGTATGGAATTTAACAACACATCTGAGCACTTCCTGTATTACCACATGACATCACAAGTTGGAACAGAGTGTTTTCTGTTTGAGAGAAGAAATCAGCCTAAATCTGCAGGGTTTGTATGTGAAACATGTGAAAGAAACAAAAAGGAAATAGTGTAACATGGGCCCTTTAAATTGTACTCCTTGAAAAATAGTTTGCCGAAATGTCCGCTGCGGTTTGTTTATGACACAGGTTTAAAGAGGGTTTTTTTTGTTTTATTGTTTTATTACAACACCACAGGAGTTTCCAGTTCTGTCCAGGTGAGACACTTCAGCATTTGAGTTTCCTCATTCTTCAAACCCATTATCTTTAATGAGATGCCTAAATGAATTTTATTATATATTGCTCCTTCTTCTTCAAGTACTATACTAAAGTAACATTTTTAGGCATCTGGATTTTTACTTTTTTACTTTTACTTCACTACATTTGACAGCAGATATCTGTACTTTCTACTCCACTACATTTTTGAAAAGGACTGAAAAGTAAAAGTATATTTCATTGTGGTTTGAGAGCTGCTGAAAAGGCTGATATTAATATATAACAACAAATAAACAAATAAAAACAAAATAATAATATCAGCTCAGTTGTTTCTATTCTAAAATTTAGAAAAAAATGTGTATCAAAATCACTACATCTGAACGTTTATTACATTTCAAAATCTATCCGAAATATTTTTTACTCTTTAATAAACTAGGATTAACACAACTCCAGGTCTGTTTATGAGGAGGTAACAACATTATAACGTGACATAAAGCTCACAAGAGTCCATTTTGTGTAAGATCCTATAGGACCTTTTACACAGTATAGAGATGGGAAGAATAGGAGACTAAACCTGAAGTAACTTATTGAAGGTATAGATGCAAAAAGAAGAAACACACATGTTAAACACACAAACCCTACATATTTAGGCTGAGCTCTTCTCTCAAACAGAAAACACTCTGTTTCAACTTGTGATGTCATGTGGTAATACAGGAAGTGCTCCACTGTTTGCTCATCTCTACTGAACTAAAGGTAAAAGAGAACTGTTGAGGACATTTTAAAACAGGTTCTTTCAATAAAAATTGTTTAATACTTTTACTGAGTATATTTTAAGTACGTATATATAGTTAAGTTAAGTATATGTTTTCATGCAATATTTTTACTTTTATTTGTTTTGTTTTTTCTTTTATTTCTGTACTTTTATTTAAGTAACATGTGATTTGAATTGAACCACTGACTTTTTTACTGTAAGTACAAATTAACCACTATCTCATGATAATCATTTGATAACAAAGTGAGCAGTAGCTTGGGTAGTAGTAGTAGTAGTAGTAGTAGTAGTAGTAGTAGTAGTAGTAGTAATAGTAGTGTTAGTGGTAGTAGCAGCAGTAGCTTGGGTAGTAGTAGTAGTAGTAGTAGTAGTAATAATAGTAGTGTTAGTGGTAGTAGTAGCAGCAGTAGCTTAAGCAGTAGTAGTAGCTGTTGTTTGAGTAGCAGGCCTAGTAGTAGTAGTGGTATTTTAAGAAGTAATAACAGTAACAGTATCTTGAGGAGTAGTAGTAGTAGTAGTAGTAGTAGTAGTAGTAGTAGTAGTTGAGTAGTAGGTAGTAGTAGGAGTAGATTGAGTAGTAAGTAGTAGTAGATTGAGTAGTAGGTAGTAGTAGGAGTAGTTTGAGTAGTAGTAGTAGTAGTTGTTGTTGTAGTTTGAGTAGTAGGCCTAATAGTAGTAGTATCTTAAGAAGTAATAACAGTACTAGTTTCTTGAGTAGTAGTAGTAGTAGTAGTAGATGCATGAGCCACAGACTACATGAGCCACAGACTGTATGAGCCAGACCGTACATGAGCCACAGACTGTATGAGCCACAAACTGTATGAGCCACAGACTGTATGAGCCACAGACTGCATGAGCCACAGACTACATGAGCCACAGTCTGCATGAGCCACAGACTGCATGAGCCACAGACTGTATGAGCCACAGACTGTATGAGCCACAGACTGCATGAGCCACAGACTACATGAGCCACAGTCTGCATGATCCAGACTACATGAGCCACAGACTGCATGAGCCACAGACTGAATGAGCCACAGTCTGCATGAGCCACAGTCTGCATGATCCACAGTCTACATGAGCCACAGACTGCATGAGCCACAGTCTGCATGAGCCACAGCCTGCATGAGCCACAGTCTGCATGATCCACAGTCTACATGAGCCACAGACTGCATGAGCCACAGACTGCATGAGCCACAGTCTGCATGAGCCAGACTACATGAGCCACAGTCTGCATGATCCAGTCTACATGAACCACAGACTGTATGAGCCACAGTCTGCATGAGCCACAGCCTACATGAGCCACAGCCTGCATGAGCCACAGTCTGCATGATCCACAGTCTACATGAGCCACAGTCTGCATGAGCCCTAGACTGCATGAGCCACAGACTACATGAGCCACAGTTTGCATGAGCCACAGACTACATGAGCCACAGTCTGCATGAGCCCTAGACTGCATGAGCCACAGACTACATGAGCCACAGTTTGCATGAGCCACAGACTGCATGAGCGACAGACTGCATGAGCCACAGACTACATGAGCCACAGACTGCATGAGCGACAGACTGCATGAGCCACAGTCTGTATGAGCCACAGTCTGCATGAGCCACAGACTGTATGAGCCACAGTCTGCATGAGCCACAGACTGTATGAGCCCTAGACTGCATGAGCCGCAGACTGCATGAGCCGCAGCCTGCATGAGGCTCTTATTGCTGCGGACAGATCTCAGAATCTGGACTCGGCTCCGGAGCAGAGGAGCCGTTGACCTCAGCGTCGCACTTGCGGAGGTTTTCACACATTCAGCGTTTTGCATCTTGGCTAATCCTGCAGGAAACACACGCAAATGAGTCTGAGTTTGAAAGCCGTTTCCTTTGTCATTAAACTTCTAGCACTCAGCACAAAAAAACAAACATGAGAAATTCCACTTTGCAGATCGGAGTTTCCGAAAGGGGCGGAGTCAAACCACACGTGCCAGAACTCCAGGAAGTAGCACCGGTTTACAGTCATTTCAGCAGCTCAACATGTTTCTGCTCGCTGATAAGAGAGGAGCATCGAGCCGGAGGAGCGCGAAAACCCGCTGCAAACACGTATTTTTACGTTTTTCAAAATGCACGAAGCTCTGTTGATCGATTTTGCAAACGGGGGCTGCAGTGCGTGCGTCGGAGCGTCACATTTGGAGAGGCTGGTCAGAGATTATCACGTTTTTTTGCTTTACGCGACGCAAAACGAAGCCAACAACTGCGTAATTGAAAAGCTAAAGGCGACATCTAAAAGCGTAAACATTCTGGAGGATGTCAGCACTGCCAGTGGCTTATATCGCTTCAAACAAATCCTGGACGAACTCGATGTCAGCGTGATAAAAGTCGTCACGTCTCCAAATGGAAAACAGATGATAGATTTGTACAGAGAGCGGCTGTTTACGGCGGTGTACAGCTTTGAGTTTGACCTTATAGCGTCAGATAAATGCACCTGCGCAGAGTGTCCGAGCCACGCCCCCTTGGACTCACCTGGAGAAAAGGTGCGCAAAGACGTGGAGGAGTTCGTACGGCGGCTTCCTGCGTTAAAAGGCGAGATTACGGTCAGCAAGTCCACGCTAATACCAGGTTGGTTTCGATTTTTATATTGTAATTTAAAGGTTCATTTAAGCATGGAATCACAGGGTCCCTCACGATCCGATGCGATACTCAATATACGATATTATCACAATACGGCGATACTTGCGATGATTGATATATTGTAAGTTTCCTTCCACTAAATAAGCGGTGATACTATATTGCCGTCACAAAAAATTGCTTGAACGTGCATTATGTAAGTTTTTAGTACGGGTCGTCACCTGCTTGTTTCTATGGATACGTCATTGTTCTGCTTGGAATATTCCACAGTATGACATTAAACAGCTTGACTTTACATTTATTCAATTACAGGCGGTTTTATGGCTCAGAAAATACCTTGAAAAACAGGTAGAAAAGTTTAATGCCATACTGTGAAACATTTCAGACAAAGCAATAACATCTCCATGGGGAAAAGCATTTGACAGACCCTCCACCGGAAAAGTTACGCAATGCAAGAAAAAAAGAACCGATATCAATACAGCAACCCACAATAACGATACTGTATCAGCAAATTTATGACGATGTATCGGTATTTTTGCACACCCCTAGTCACGATAACACATTTTGAAGTAACTATTATATTGAAATGAATCCGTAAAACTGAATTATCCCCAAAAAGTATTTTAAATGTACAGTACTGTAAAAACAAAGTCAAACAGGACCATGTTCCTGAAATGTAAAGTCAGAAGAGTTTATTGAGTCTTAGACAAAGTGACAGTGTAGCTACGGACTTTGCAGGAAGGACGGGCCCTGAAGTATGTGTGTTTAGAGTTTTTATTGCGGATCAGTGTGTGTATGAAGGAGGATCTTGTGGTCAGCCGAGCGTTTCGTATGTAAGCCGAGCCATATACGGGAGGGTCACGAGAATGTCACTGTCAACGCAACAATGTATTTTCTATGTGCGCATTAGTAGTATTCACCCGCCTTAACTTTGGCATTAGTACATTAAGATAAAAGTTACTTACTTGGATACTTCATAATTGCAGTAAATAATTAGCAGAATTAAACACTTAAGTAGTCATTTTGTAACTAAAGAAGTTCATATTTCAACCGTCTACAGCTCAAATCTGATTATTGCTCAAATAAATATCCGCAGAGAAAAATCCCGCACACTGTCTTACTTGCAAAATGTGAGATTTATTAGGACATACAGTGCAATGTTTCGGCACTAGGCCTTTTTTGCCTGATCAAGGCCTAGTGCTGAAATGTTGCACTGTATGTCCTAATACAAGGAGTGTCAAACTCAAATTGACAGAGGCCAAAATCAAAAACTGGGACGAAGTTGTGGGCCAAACTAAATATTTACTGAAAAATTTCAACAACATTTGCATGTTTTCTTTTCTTTCGAGATATGCAATGTTAAACCTTTTCTTATTAAAATAAATGTTTAATAATAGTTTTGCTTAAACACTGAATCCAGAACATGCATAATATAAAATAATAACACAGTTTTAAATAAATAATGTCTCTATAGTCTATCTGTAGTCTAATACATATTTGTTATGATCTTGCAGGCCAAATATAATTATATCACAGGCCAAATTTGGCCCCCGGGCCTGAGTTTGACTTGTCTATCCTAATAAATTTCACATTTCACAAGTAAAACAGTGTGCAGGATTTTTCTTTATGTTCTTGGGCTGCTTCCTCTCCTCCAACGCACTCGTCTCAAGTAATGAATGTGTGAAGTTCTCAATCTTCTATAAAATAAATAACCACAAATTTTCCACTGGTACAAAGAAAATGTCCCCTGATAAATGTAAAAAATAAAAAATAAATTCATATATTGAACGCAAAGTTGATTATAGGTGTTCTATGTCATTTTTCTGGTCTGAGAGCTCCTGCATGTCTGTGAGGATACTATTGCTTTCTGGAATATTCCACAGTATGGCTTTAAATGTATCCATTGTGCGTTTATTCAATTACAGTTGTTTTATTGCTAAACCTTGAAAAAAAATGCACTCTTACTGGGAGCAGCACAGACCTTACTTGGCCTGTCACCATAATTGACTAGGAGTGTAACGATACCCAAGTCTCACGATACGATATTGTCACGGTATGAACCTCATGATATGATATTTATTGCGATGTCGTGGGAAAGCTCACGATTAGAGATGTAACTATATCCAGATCTTTTGGTACGATATTTTCACGACATACATCTCATGGTACGATATTTATTGCGATAATTTTTTTAAAAAAATTATTTTTACTTTTCCTCTTAAAATGTCTTGACAAGGCTTAAACCAAAGAACTAAGATTTAAAAATGCTTATAACTGTTATTTCTTCATGTAGTCACTGAAATGGAGCAAAGGATCATGGTCTATGTAGTCTTTTTTAGCTATTGCTGCATGATAACTCTTAATTTAAGTGAAGAGACTTGTAATTCGATATATTTTGATGGTCCATGATATTATTGTAAGAACTTTGATGATACGATATCACAGTATTTCGGTTATTGTTACACCCCCAATATTGACTAATCGTTCGATATAAAACAACTACATGAACAGTATTTTTTAGGCTCAATATTTCTCACATGTACCTTTTGTTCATACTAGTGGAGAGTGTTTTTTTTTGTTGTAGTAGTAGTATTCTAGTATTAGGCCTATGTGATGTAGATGGTCCAATAAATCACTTACATGACACATTGTAGATACTAGAACTAACTACTTTAGTGTTTCATTGTACTGTTTATGTATGATGATTCACTTAGAAAAGAGTCTACTGTGATTATCCTGTTTTAAGGTCATTGTGAAAGTGTTATAAATTAATTTTAATATTATAATTTATCATGGTATAATCACAGTCAATATATCGTTCTTCAAAATTGGCTGAGATCTGACCTGGATGTAGCCCGAGCTTTTTACCAAACTCACAGAGGTTTGTGAAACTGCTGCGGTGGGACGAGACACAATTTTCACAAGATGAGACACCACCACAAGAATGAGACAAGATGAGATTTTGACATCATTTGCAGTAAATAAGTAGTGCAACCATTTCACAATCCTGGCTTCACTACTCTTATTTATTTTATGTAATACTTTAATGGTCATTGTAGTACTGCTTCTTGGAACTACAGCTTCTCAGATTGTTGTCACCAGCTCTTAACTCATTTTTGTCTGAGGTAAAACTTAAATTCAGGGGGAAAAAATCTCACAAGATCATTTATCGTTCTGTGTGCACGATCTTGTGGCAATTCCCGATCCCTACTGCAAACCTAATTCCTCAGGAGGACAAATAAAAAGCTGTATAATTAAATTGAATAAATTAAAAGTAAGAGTTAATATGATAGCGTTACATAGACTGATATTAAGGTTGTGCAATTACAGTTTTTCTCCATTGGTTTGGCTCATTTCTTGAAACAGAAATGACATTCTTAAAACTATAAGATCATTTGGCCAAACAGTCTATTAGTTCTGTACAACATTACAGCTCACCAGCAAAAGCTCAGATCTTTCCCAAAACTGTTCACACATGCTTCAAAACAGATTCCTTTCCCATATAAAGAGTCAGGACCATCAAAATTGCAAAGATCCTTCTCAATTGTTTTGGCTCTTTTGCATTCACTTAGTGCTTTTCTCAAAATAACCTGGATGGTTCAGCACAACACTATGGATCACCTGCAAAAACTCAGATCTGTGCCAAAACAGTTTATCCATGTGTCAAAACTAAACTCCTTACTCATATAAAGAGTCATTGTCCCCAAAATGCATCGTCCCTTTGGCCTTGTGTCAGCACTGCAGCTCAAAATGCTTAGATGTTTTGTCACAGAAGCAGAGGTCTAACTAACACAATACAATTATGGATAAAACTGAAAAAAATAATAATAATTTCACAGTAAGAGCAGCACTGACAATTACTGTCATGAATTTATCAAATATTCCATATATGGTGTTCGTGGTATCATGTTCCTCACTAATTCTGACAACTGAACAGACTGTTGTGCATATGATGACTCAGACAATGAAATCATGCTGACATGTTTGGAGAGCACAACCATTAGACTGAAAATGAACTCATCAGTTTAGATCAGCAAGATTGATTTATTTGGAAACTGTGCTAAACATGGGTTCATTGTGTTAACTGTAGGTGACTTCTACAGAACCATGTGCAAAGATGCACTGAGACACTTAAGACATGCACTAAGACATTTGCAATTTGATGAAATCAATGAGAAATGTCATTCTGTTGTGAACGACTGTAAGGTGGTTTGGAGATTTCTCCATGTTGTTTTGAGAATGTCATTTCTGTTTCAAGAAATGAGCCAAACCAATGAAGAAAAACTGTAATTGAATTTTGATCACAGTTTCGATGTGTGTCAAACAATCTCCAAACTCATATAATCCAGGATATTTTTTATATACATAAGTATATTTATTTTATTTTTTAAATATAGAGATTGTAGAACAGATGGATATATAGTTTATTTTAGATACATTTATGTTTTTCTGCCTTATATCATGTTCAAAGTAGATTTTATTCATTTTATGATTTATACATCGCAAAACTGTTCTAAGGTTCATATTTGTAGCCTATATTTATTTTCAATTTGAAAGTTTTGTGTTAATTATCAATAACAAAGTGTTTTGTTTTGGGGTTTTTTAAGAGAGAAATGCTGAATAAATGCATTGTGTAACTAAAAAATAATATTTGAATAATTGTGATTTGAATATTGAACAAACTAATCGTGGTAATGATTTTTTCCATAATCAAGCATCTTGAACTGAGATAGACTTTTTGTTTATGTAACAGGGATGTAACAATAACTGAAATATCCTGTAATAATAATCGCCAAAAGTGTCATTAATATCGTGGGCCATCACAATATATCAAGTCTCTTTACTTATATTAATAGTTTTGGTGCAGGAAAAAAAGGGAACTACAGACCATGAAGCTTTGCTTTTTTAGAACAGACTACATGAATTCTTTGAATTGTGACAGAACCAAAGTCTTGTCACTGCATTTTAAAAGGAAAAAGTGGCATATTCACAATTGTGTTAACCTCTACAAAATATTGCAATAAATATCAGACCATGAGATCGAGAGGTTTGGAGATCATCCCTAGCGAGTTGATAGTGGTGGTCGGAGAGGCCAGTGGCACAGATTTGCAGCCTCTCTTTCATGAGTCTACCACAGATTAACACCACCAAGTCTGTTTTACATAGGTATACATAGTTACTCCTAAATAAAGAGCTATAATGACGCATGTTTGTCCTGGTTCCTCCTTTCAGATTGCTTCGGGCACGGCTTCAGCTCGCGTTGTGGTGGGGTTTCCTACATCTCCACTGTCTCCTCTCTGAATCTGTTCTGTAGCAGTAAGAGGAGAGACCCGCGCGCTGTGGTGGACGAGAACCGCAGGAGACTGGGTCTGGTCGTTGGATTTGACCACAAAACGATGCACTTTCCCAAGGTACTGTACGCGGCCCTATGCGTGACTTTCAGAATGATGAGAAAGAAGGACCACTGCAATAGTGATAAACAGTTTAAAGCTACATATTATAGCTTTTTGAATGTGAAAATTCCTCAAAATGTTGCATATAACAGGAAGATGAACCAAACAGACAGGGAGATCAGACTTTTCATTACTGGAATGTTCAATAGTATGACATTAAACGTCTGTATTTTCTGGACAATAAGTCGCTCCGGAGTATAAGTTGCACCAGCCAAAAAATATGCAGTGAAGAAGAAAAAACAACCGACATTTCATGTGGAAAGTCAAGTTCTAATAATAACAACAGAACAGAGAACAACAGACTGAATAGACGTTAATATGTTAACGTAACATATTAAGAGTTATTGAGATAATTATAGCATAAACAACAGAACATAAGTTTACCAAACTCACAATCTCACTCCAAATCACTAAATCTATTGAATTGTTCATCCTCGGTGTCACTTCTGCGCGACCTTCGGAGATAAACCATAGATCCATGAGGTAAACAGAGCGCTGCTTCCTCTTCTGTGTAGCTGTCATCAGACTCAGCATCAATTCCAGTTAGAATTATTCCGGCCTTTCTGAATCCTGACAGGATGGTTTCGGTGTCACTGAAGTCCAGACTTTGTCCATCCATCCAGTGACTTCCAGGAAAGTTATATGGTGCACCCTCCTGGTTGTCGTGAAGCTGTGTTCTCCACTTTCTGCCAGCCCCTCACAAGTTTCTCACTCACTCTAAACTTTTTTTCTGCTGCTCAATTACCATTTTTTGGCTGAATATTTCATTATTTGCAGCCTCTACAGGAGGCATGCGCAGTAGAATGCAAAGTGACAGAGGTACAGGCATAATAGTAGTACTAGATACTGACACACAAGTCTAAAGCACCCTCCCACCGCCCTCCCAGTGTGAACATTTAATATATAAGTCACATCGCAGTATAAATCACAGGAAACTCCCAAACCATGAAAGAAGTGCAACTTATAGTCCAAAAAATATGGTATTTGTTGAATTGCTCAAAGCATTGATAATAATGCTTTCTTACTGTGAGTGCATCGCCTCTCCTCATCTTGCACTTGTAATGAGGCCTGTTGGCGCCTCCTGCTGGTCTCAGTGAAAATAGATAAGTGTTTTGCCGTACTGTGGAACATTTGGGCAAAGCTAAATTATTATGCTAAACTGACTTCTTTGAGCTTGTGTTGTAATGTTGTTCCCTCATCAAAAACATGCTACAAGAGGTTTTAGATCCATGCATGTTTGAGTAATTTAGAGATCTCTCCTCGGTCCTATTCTAACCCTGCTTAAGATTCCAGGGTAGGCGTGGGCCTTAAAAAGTCTTATTATTATGTTGTCCAAGTCTTATTTTTTTCACAAAGGTCTTAAATTTCATTAGCCTGTTCTTTGTATACTCAACTGGCCTGCAGTGCAATGTTAAATGGACGGAGGAAAAAAACTACGTAAAATCATGTAACGTGAATGAGCGTCTAATTTGGAGTATGCGTAAACAATACTTTGGTTTCTGGCGCCGGCAGCAATGAGTAAATAATCAGTACAATGGAGAATGACGTTGGATGGATCATGGGGAAGTGTAGGTTTAATCCACAGTGGCTCTTAGATTCTAGATGTAGTAGCTGTTTGGTCATTATTAGAATTGGATCTGGAGTTTTTCGCCCACTTAATGGGTATGATGTTGGTCTTAATTTTTATTTAAGTGGTCTTAAAAGGTCTTAAAAAATCTTAAATTTGGCGTAGTCAAACCTGAGGATACCCTGGATTCAACCTACATCAGTCATGCTCCCACACGATAATTCTCCATAAATATACAAAAAGCAGGATATAAAACTGTACACAACAACTCGACAAACCTGATGCGATGTGCAGTAGTTTCATTAGCGGGATGCACATTGATTGTGATAGTGCTCTGTAGGGGGAGTAAAGGGTAAGGGAGAGTCAAAATCAAAATCAAAAACTAAACATATAAAACATGTTAATATGTTGTTTTCGGCAAGTGTAGCATTTTCCAAACAATAAAAGATAGTGTGGTGATCTAAACATGTATTAGCGAGTAATAACACATAGGGTATTTTAGTTCTATCTTTAAATGAATCAAAACTACAAACCTTTATTGACCACACACGATTATAAGTGTAACATGTATTTCTGTGAATGTGATCTTTGCAGGTGAACCATGGCAGTGACGTGTGGGTGCTTGGAAAACCCGAGCCGGATGTTTACGACGGGATAGTGACAGACCGGACTGGAGTGGTCCTGGCTGCTCCGGGCGCAGACTGTATCCCCCTGCTGTTCTGTGACCCGGTGCACAGGGTCATAGGAGCCACTCACGCAGGTATCACAGATCAATATGGCTCATTATACTGCTGCAGGGCTTTAAAACTGTGAGGCTGGACACAGGATAATCTTAGCATTTTCTTTTGGATGTGTGGATTACTCATTTCTATCTATACATTACTGCATTATAAACTGCATTTGCCAATTTGTCCATTCTGAGACTATAACAGCTGTTTTCCTTTCTTTTAAAAACTCACATTAACCTGGGTTATCTGATTTTCAAACTCAAAGGTCTTAACTACCATAATTTCTGGACTATAAGCCACTACTTTTTTTCCTCACACTTTGAACCCTGCGGCTAACATATGGACAGATTATTTGTTTGACACATTTTCCATTCATATAGATGGTCTATGGTTTGACAACACAGCAGATGCGCGCAGCCTGAGTGCAGAAAACACTGCTGTCTCTGCGGTTACACTTGGATCTAGGGTTAACATGAAGTTGCAACACTTGCTAGTAATATTGTCAGCTCTCTCAAACTGTAAGTTATGATGCTAATTGAACATTAGTGAGGGGGATACGTCTTAATAACCTATATACGTTAAATGCAGGTGAGTGCGTAAATGACCGAAAGAAATGTCTCAAACTTCAGTACCCGGACATCCACTCATACCTGACACAACTAGCCCTTCCCCCCGAGAGAGCCTGAAATCTGCTGAAATCCTCCAAGACACATCTCATGCACCGAGGAAGATGCTAGTTTTGAACTGTTATTTTGAGCTTCATACACACAGCCTCCTCATGTAAAACACACGTAGAATTGCAGACGATGCAGCTTTTAACTTAAAGGCAATTGATTTTTACTCCACATTTATTTCCACAATAGCCCTGGGGCAGACTGATGGAAGCAAGGTTGCCAATCTGTGCCATTAACCCCTGCGATTTACACCAACACTCATACACCACATTTATACTAGGCAAGGTGGGTGAATTGTCTTGCTTAAGGACACAACAATAGTATCCACTAGTCTAGCAGCACCTCGTATCTCTGATCCAAGCACTAACCAGGACTTAAGCTTTCCAGATCTGACAAAATCAAGCAGTGACAAGCAGGTATGGCCATAGCATTCACATGCATGAATTTTCAGACAAATGCACAGAGGAACTGTGAGATTTTATGGCATGACCCATCCCTCTCCTCTATAAAGATCTGTTTTTACAATGTACATATCAGATATATCACATATAATAAACAAAAGTTGGGTACCTCAGCTTTACGTAATGATGATGTCACTTCTGTGTTTGTGCAGGTTGGAGGGGTACGCTGATGGGAGCTGCCATGGAGACAGTGAACTCTATGGTGCGTGAGTTTGGGAGCAACATTCAGGACATCTGTGTGGCCCTGGGTCCCTCTGTGGGAGTCTGCTGTTACACTATGGACCAGAAACAGGTCTCAGACTTTACCAAGATCCACACAGACTGTGTCCCTGATCCTGAGTCTGCCCGCCCACACGTCAACATACGCCTCGCAAACAGGTACTGACCCAGTCCTACTATACGCAATGCAACCTACGGTCCAAAACTTTTATCATGATTGTTTTGAGTTATTACATATTTAAAACAACAGATGTTCACTTTTGTTGGTTTGAAAATGCTTCTTTTTTTTTTTTTTTTTGCCAAAAACAGTGCTTTTTAAAACATGTTGCGTGTGGTAGGAGCATGAAGAGCACTGCAGGGAGCGATAACCATAAAGGACAACATGTCTGCATTTTGACAGAACAGCAAAGTTCACAATAGAATTATTATTCACCTGTCCTCCAGCTCAGTTTAAACTATGGTCATGTGAAGTCAGTTTACCCATGAGTGATGAACAGTTAAAGGCGTTACCACAGAAATTGAGAAATCTGAACTGAATATTTTATCTTTTGAATGCTCGCCATCCTCAAAATGGCAACTTATACCATATATTAAAGTGCAGGTGTGTATTAAAGTGTACCCGTGTATTAAAGTGTACGTGTGTGTTGCAGGGTGCTGCTGCAGAATGGGGGGGTCCTGCCTGAGCACATCCATGATGACACAGTTTGTGACAGACCTCTGGTGACGCCCTGCACTTCCTGTAACCCTCAGAAATACTTCTCCCATGTTCGAGATGGAATAAACTTTGGGACTCAAGTCGGCTTCATGTGGATCAGAGAGTCCGAACTAGAGACTAAAACTGAGGCAGCTGCTTTGGTGTGATCAACCAGGGAGAGGAGGTCTAAAACCCTTTAAAAACAGCGCCCCCTGGTGCCACAGTGTGGCGGCTTTAACTCAAAGCTAAAGACACTGAAAGTGTTTTACAGTGCATTATTCACTCCACACTCGGTGGTGGTAAAGTTGTTATTGTGAGGACAAAACTGAGGCTGTTGGCACCATCAGCCCCTCACACGTGTGCACACTACATTTATACTAGACATAGGCAATGTGGGGGTGGAGTGTTGCCTAAGGACACAATGTCAGAACTTGGTCTATGGAGTACATCAGCATTACAATTGTTATCATTAAGAGCATTAGTTGGTTTGAATATGTATGTATCTGGGGACAAAGATGGGTCATGAAAGTCTAAATAAAAATTCTACATACCCTCTCGTTAAAACTGTGTAATGTTTTACATTTAACTCATTTAACATTTAATACCTTTTTATGCTCATTAATAATAATGCATCAGTTTTATATAGCGTTTTTAGACACTTTACAGAGCATTATTCATTCACTCCACACCCAGTGATGGTAAACTATTACTGTAGCCACAGCTGCCCTGGGGCAGACTGACAGAAGCTAGGCTGCCAATCTGCACCATCGGCCCCTCCGACCACCACCGAGCACCACCATCACAGACCACTTTCATACTAGGCAATGAGGGTGAAGTGTCTTGCCTAAGGACACAACAACAGTTTTTTACGACTGGCGCCCCCCTGTGGCACCTGATTTTCCCAGTGGTCTCACATCCAAGTACTAACCAGACCCAGCACTGCTGAGCTTCTGAGATCTGACAGGATCAGACTTTGACAAGCTGGTGTGGCCACAACATTATAACTACAGAGGCTCAGCTATAAGAAGAGCCACACTCAGAATAACACTGTCCACATGCATCACTTGTCTCTGGACTAAGCCAGGTCTATAGAAGGACTAAATCCAGTCTAAACATCAGGACTAAACTGGATCTGAATTAAGACAAAACCAAGTCGAAGGACTATACCAGTCTAAAGCTCCTCTGATAGATGCAGACCAGTGCAAAGTACACCACATTGGCTATAGTTTGGGAGATACTCTGACTCATCATGATTTGTCAACACCTTTTAGGACAAAGTGCTTTTTTTTTTATTTGAACATATCACATTTACTAACCATAATGCAAGAAGGATGTTTCATACACTTCACACTTCTATATCTGCAGTTATGTCTCTGGTAACATTCTATATGCAATAAAAATGTATACAACTGATAATGTATTTTTTGTAGTATTTATTCATTTATATAATTTTGCAGAAACACAGCACAGCTCTGTAGGTTTCATTATTAAATTATAAATATATTATGTTCTAACAGATGATAATTTAGGATTAAGATTTACAGTGCCATTTACAAATTTTTGTTTCAATGTTTTGTTCCCCATCTCTCCAATGTCCAAAGGAGAAATGGTTAAAATAAATATGTACAATACTTCTTGTTATGTGTCTGTAGTTGTGTTGTAGATGTTGAATTTGCGGAGCAAGCTTCAGATGAGGCTGAGTGAACTGTGGTAGGACCCAAACCCAGCCACAAGAGTCTCTGTGAAGGTGGCGTTCAAACAGTGCAGAATGTGTGGAGAACCATCAGGGGAGACTTCATAGAAGGCCAGAAATCCAGCCTTTGGGTCCAGGTACACAGCCACACAATGTGAGGATGAAGAGGTTACAAAAAACTCTCTCCCATTGTGGCAGAAAACGTACTGTCCCTTGAACACACGTAGAGTCCAGGACTCATGGTTTAGTCCAAACAGACACTCTTTACCTTTTCCTTTTCGTTTCAGAGTTTTGTAACAGACAGAAATATCCACCCATCCAGGCTGGTCCTCTTCACAGCCCTCCCACAGTACCTCCCAGTAGCTCCGTTGAGTCAGCTCAGTGTAGCTAAGGACCTGGGGCCTGGAGTCGAAGCGTTTTTGGTGATCTGGATAGTGCAGCTCCTCCTCCACATGTGTCACTGTTCTCTGGTCCTTAGACAGGTGCAGAGCTCTGTGAGCGGTGTTCACATCCAGACTCAGGTCACACAAGTCTGTAGAAGGAAACAAGGATAAATAAGGAAGTGATGTCATTACCATACATTTCAGTGGTGTCTAATTAAATGTCACTATTAACTCACACTTTCTCAGACCAGGAGTTAACCACTGGGCACCAGAGGGATTCAGCCTACAGTACAATGAAGCACAGTTGAAGAATGAGTCAAACGCAAGATCAAGTTTGCCATCATGGAAAATGACATGCATCTAAACCTTTATGTTTCACAGTCACTCTGGTTTTCACTGTGTATTTACTGCCATATCAATATTACACACATTGAATGAAAGTGAAGCACACTATCAGAAAAATAATTAAATTATGTATTGTTTTTGTGGTTTGTGAGGTCCTCACCTTAGAGTTTCCAGGGGAAAGTGGGTGTCTAATCGTAGTTGAGTCAGCAGCTGCTTTGACGGTCCTGGATGGTTGTAGCTCAGGTCTAACTCTGCCAGACGAGAGTGGGAGGAGCCGAGAGCTGAGGCCAGAGCAGCCCCGCCCCTTTCTGTTACCAGACATCCAGACAGGCTAAAGACACATGCATTTGTTATTTAAGACAATTCTCTATCAACAAAACTCATTATCTTCTGGTATAGGTAGTTAACCTATTGCAGAGGTGGCTTTCATTTTGACATAAATGATGGATTCAAACCTTCTAGCAGTAGCCATATCTTAAAGAGGTACAAAAGGTTTTAGAAGTAGTCATCTAGACACAATAGCTTTTCTCACCCCACTTTCAAAGGAACCTTTCCACCTGGTTAAAATCCAGACCTCACTGTCACAAATGAATGATCTGTGGCTTTATGATGAAGGTGAACAATGGAATGTGAACCCAAATGTAAATGTATTTTGTGTTGATATTTTCTTTGTTATAATGGTGGTTTAGTTTCACAGATGTAATGCTCACTGCTAGTGATGGGCAGATGTGTTTGTAACATATATATCACAAATCCTGATATTCTGCTCAGTGCCTCTGGAGCCATTAGCTGTCTGAGCTGTGACATGATACTGGCCCTGGATTGGAAGGACCTGACTTTTGAAGCAAGGCAAGACACAAGTAACCTTACATTTGGAAACAGCTTGTGTTGGTGTGTTCTATAGTGCCATCTGGTGAATGATGAAATGAACTTCCTATGCAGAAGAGTTGGCACAACACAGGGCTCATTCACTCAGAGAAGTGAATGCTAAATTGTGCTGGATGCAATCTGATATTGGTATTCAATAAATGAAAGAACTGACCAAGAAAGTAATACAGTTGTCACAGGTTGACTATGCGACACACTTTGTACTGATTTGCACATTTGTTTTTATGTTGCATGCTAATTCATAAACATAATAATAATAATACAAATGAATACAACTTTACAATGGATGAAATTCTATGGGAGAAATCAGCATGAGACACGAGAGAAAAACTTTACTCAAACTGACAGTAAAACAAAACAAAATGCAACAACCTTCCCACTGATTATTCATTTGGACGAGTCATTCACAAAGGTATCATGAAAAGTCACATTTCTTTTCATTTTATGGAGTTACAGTATTTCTATTTCTATAGCCTATTCTCCTACTCTAAGGTGTGTAAACTTGAATTTGTATGGGATTTAAGCATATTAGGTGATGTGTATCTGTCTAATGAGGGAAGGTGTGGCCTAAGGAGATCAACACCCTATATGAAGGTGTGCAGAATTATTAAACAGCTTTTTTTCCTCAGGCAAAATGGGCCAAAATGGAAATTTAACTGACTCTGAAAAGTTAAAAATTGTAAAAAGTCAGCACTTTTGATATTGCAAAGATATTGGGATGTAATCACAGAACCATCTGGTTAAAGATGAGCTTGTTGGACCTTTTCGGGTTGAAGATGGACTCGAAATTAACTCCCAAACCTACTGCCAGTTTTTAAAAAACACTTTCCTCAAGCAGTGGTACGGAAAAAAGTCTGCATCTTTCAAGAGGACCATGACTTTTATACAGGACAATGCTCCATCTCATGCATCGAAATCCTCCACTGCGTGCCTCAAAGATGAAAAAATAATGACAAGGCCCCCTTCCTCACCTGACCTAAACACTACTGTGAACTTGTGGGCTCTTCTTAAACAGGGAATTTACACTGAAGGAAAACAGTACACCTCTGAACAATGTCTGGGAGGCTGTGGTGCTACTGCACAAGCAGATCAAGAAACTGACAGACTCCATGAATGGAAGGTGCTTAACCATTATTGAGAAGAAGGGTGGCTATATTGGTCACTGATTTTTTATATTAATACCAGATATGTTTATTTGAACATTTTGAGTTGTTTAATATTCTGAAAGATGAAAATAAATAAGTGAGAATGGAAAATGTCCATTTTTCATTTTGTTGCGTAATAATTCTGCACACATAGATTTTCTGCTAAGAAAAGCAGAATGTCACTTTTACTTACTTATACTTTCAGGTTTGGTTTACTTACATTTTGGATTGACTGAGAGAACTGTAGTTGTGCAATTATAAAATTTATCCTCATAATTGCAACTTGCCTAATAATTTAGGCCCCGCCCCCAGAACTGGATGTGGATTCTAACGCCACCCTTCATGAACTCTTTTACCACAGTTGATGTGTCAGCTCTCTCTAACTATGACTCAAGTGCACTGGAAATGGTAAATATTGTATATATGTGTCGATAACACTTTTTTGGTGGCACCATAATTTTGTCTTGTTTTATTTAGCAATGTTTCTTTTTCCGATCCTGTATCATGTTATACATAAATTATAGCAATTTATTACTCAAAAGGTATTGCTAGTGTTACATGTGGGCTGAGCACATTACAGGATTATACTGAATAGGACCTGGGGGAGATCGCTAAGTACTCCAAAATGCACGGATGATACACACACACACACACACACACACAAAAGCACAGTTCAGGCATGCTGTTGGTAAGAATTGATACAAATTATAGAAATAATGGAATGCTCCAAAAAGTTAATTTTGCATAATACCCATCTTTAACATTTTTTAGGACATAACACAGATGGGAGTCAGTCATGGAAAAAGTCTGACCTGAGTGTCTTCAGTCTGCAGGTGGCGCTCTTTAGTCCTGAACACAACTGTTCTACTCCTGAGTCCTGGAGGTGATTGTCACTGAGATCCAGATGTGTCAGACTGGAGGAGCTGAGGAGAGTGGAGAGAGCACCACAGCTGTCTTTGGACAGGTTACAAAAACCCACCCTGTAACAAAGACAAGCATCTTAAACATCTAGACACTGTTTATTCAGTATTTTACTTATGAGCCTATTACGTATTTCATTTTTACCTTTACACATAGTATTATCTTAACAAACCATAGACTACTGCTCTCCATGGAATGATGAGTCTTTTTGTGTTTTCTTGTTTTTTGTGACTACATCACTGGGTGCCTCCTGGTGGTTGGACTAGTCGCATTGGTGAGGTTCCCCCACCTATGCACGTGATTTAAACCACTGGTTCATGAGTTTCACTTAATTTGCTGTGCCGTCTGCTGTGTCCACTGTGGTGAGTGGGTAGCACTTCTGGGCACTTGTTTACAGTTTCTGTTTGTTAAGTCTATTGAACTTGCACTGAGTATGGGGTCTTATTAACATAATCATTCAGGCCCATAATGGTACTTTCACATCTCTAGGCCTGACCTGGCTATCCCTGCTGTTTCATTTGTTTTGTTTTAGATCTGAGGAAGGAGTTTTAAATGGGAGACAGATGATGTCTGAGGCCTCCATTTCTGTTCAAGGATGGACTGTCTTTCCTAACAAAAATAAGTTTCTTTAACTCCACTCTCAAACCAGTTCTTTTCTCTGGCTCAGATTTGTACCTCACTATCCTCAAAGGACTGGCCCGAGGCTTTTAGATGGAGGTGTACCGCAGACTGAGGTCCACTATTGCTCTCTCATCTGTGTTGGTACATCCTCCTGGGAAGTGGCTGTTTTGTTTCTCCAGTGTAGCACTCACTGTAGTCTTCACTACACTGAATGGAGTAGCAATGATTGGAGAGACCGGTGAGCCCATGGAACAGCTGTGGATTTGCTTGTACAAATTTTCTCTGAACTGAAAATAGGTGGTATTTAAACAAATTTCTTTGGACAGCTTCTGTCTTTTTGAGCTTTATGTTCCTAATGGTGGTTTCTGCTGTTGTGATGTAGTCCATCGTGGGGATACGGTTAGATGTTAGAGAAATTGTTTGGGTGTCTGGGTGGTTTCCTTTGATATGACCTCTCTTTTCACTTGTATCCCTACATCAGTAGCAGTGGAGGCAGCAAGAAGGAGACTACTGCAGGATACTAAGTTAGAAGAGAGAACTAAACTTTCACACAACCAAATCTGCCAGCTGCTGGAAATTTGTTTAAATACCAGAGAAAATTCAGAGGAAAGTTCTACAGGCAAATCCACGCCTGTTCCATGGGCTCACTGGTTTCTCCTATCATTGTCAACTTATATACTGTATGAAACAACATGCTTTGAGACATGTGATTTCAATCATGAAATTCAGGGAAGTTGAATCAAAGATGGACAGGACTACTTTAATACACCGTTAAGAGTGGTAAAAAAGGCTCTGAAGGGGTCAAACGTTAAAAAGAGCCAGGGCCCTGATATTATCTGTGCCCAGTTGCTTATAACTTGTACAAAACCATTGAGCCTCTTCAACAGCACGTTCCACAAATATGGAAAGAGGTACTGGTTGTTCCCATTCCCAAATCTAGTGCTCCTAAAACTTAAAATTACTTAAGGTTAGTTGCCTGCAATTAATGAATGAAAATGTTTTGAGAAAATAATGAGGTCAAACATCTTGAGTAAAACTGTGATCTTAACCTGATGTTATGCTATGAAGCGGGGCCATCATGGCAGCAAGAGAGAGGGATCTGTACAAGCTGTAATCCTTACCCAGTCTGTGTTGTTAACACAACTGAATTTTCTTTTGCTATGAAACATACCTGGATCACTGAGGGATAATTTCACGAGAAAAATCTCATGAATTGTTATTTATTAAATCTTTAAGAAATGTATTTTCATGGAATTTGTACTGTGAGAGGACCAGTAGGGTCTGATGGAAAGCTGAGAAGTAACTTTAGTCACATAGCATCTAATTTATTATCTTAAAATGATTGCCTTTTCCATTATTATTGTCAGTACCACTGATATAACTTGTGATCTAACTGTTCAAATATGAGGGGCATCTTTCTGTCTCCAGGATAAATTGTTCAAAATACAACAGGTTATCTGCAGACTGTCAGTCACATATCATCATCAACATTCCTTGGAGTAAAGCTAACTAGAGGCACTGCTCTGTCTGAAGCTCTATTACTCTAATCTGATCTTTATTTTAACACCTTCTGACTAGGGGTGGGACAACACAGAATTTTCACAACATGAGACAGGAGACAGGGTCCACGAGAATGAGACAAGATGAAATGTTGAAATAATAAAAAAAATAACCAGATTAACTCATAATTGTGATCACCGTTATATAATAAAATAATAATAATAAAAATAGACAATTGACAATTACATTAAATAGTAGGAAATAAAAACAGACAAAAATTAACCTCGTTGGCTGAGTACCGAGAGAGATTCATTTTGGTTTCTTCAGTCTTCTTGTTTTTTCTGTCTGTTAGCTTAAACCTTTTCTCTTAATCATGCTGTTGTCCTGTCTCTCTTGAGATCACTTCTTCTCTTCTAATAATCTTGCTCTGCATATACACAAGCCTATTACTGTGTTACAATTAGTTGGAAATACAAAAGGTGAGCTGATTCCCTCTGAAGTAACATTTCGGGCTGATTCCACATGATGCAACTCCTCTGCACTGAAGCCAGATCATCAGAGCAACAAGTTGTGAAAACATCTAGGCCTACAGCACTCCTGTACCCATACAACTAAATCTGACAGGGACACCAGGTTGACAGTGATGGAATGGCACCCAGTCTGGCACCCAATGGCGGAAAAGAAAATAAACATAGAAAATATTAAAGAGCACAATCACAAAAATTTCACTACCTCTTGATCCTGAATTTTGCCTACTTGGAAATTTTGAGAAAATGGAACCATTAAATAAAATATAAAATACAATTTTTGGAAATATTATTGGCAGTGGCAAGAAAATGCATTGCAGTCACCTGGAAGTCTGATCCCTCCCCTCCCATTACAAGATGGTACTCAGAAATGAACAGCTGTGTGTCTTTGGAAAATATCACTTATAGTCTCAGAAAGGCTTATAATACCTTTGTTAGAATACCTTACTAGGAATGTGAACATCACCTCAACTGACCTCTGTCTGTCTATGTGAACTATTGAACCCCCCCATGGGCTTACAGTCACAAGCAAACTAGCACTAGCCAAATGCTTTCAATTTGTCACGCTCAACATTTTTTTTGTAAAAACACCTAAATGGAACCAAGAACATTTGTATTGACCACAGCCTCCTTAATACTGATGCTGTTCTCACCTGAGGATCTTCAGTTTGTAGGGGGCGCTCTTCAGTCCAGAACACAGCAGCTCCACTCCTGCGTCCTTCAGGTTGTTGTAACTGAGCTCTAAGTGTGTCAGACTGGAGGACTGGAGGACTGAGGACAGGGAACCACAGCAGCTCTGGGACAGCTTGCAAGCATTCAAGCTGGAGAAATGCACACAAGAAGTAATATGATGCTTTTTTGGTATTTAGTATTTTAGTACATTTAACATGCACAGCATTACACATACATCCTTTTTTAGACATTCAAGGATTTATTGTCATTGTCACAAGTAACTTTGAAATAACACACTAGTGTGGCTATTTGAAAACAATATCAGTGCAATTCATAAAGTGCAAATACTGGCATATAAACATATAGACCATTGAGGTACTTCTAGCATGTAAGATAACATCATGACATAAAGGCAGAGGTAGATATATTTTAATATGAAATGTTACAGGTACAATATAGTTTTGTAGTATGATTCACTGAGGTTCAGGACTAGGATCATGCCTCACCCTTCTACTGCTCCTCTCCAGCAAAACCGCAGCTCACCTCTGCCTCTGATTACCCACAAGCCTCATTTTTACAATTTTATCCTGACAGCAATATCTGTTTCCACTTTTGCCATGTACAGAATACTACAATAAAGATATGCATTGATGAATGATACGAATAGAGGGAGATGAGTAGAGATTCAAGATGGGAGCTTTATCAGTCAATTCAGGACCACCCAGACCCCTATATCCATATCAATCATCAATGCATATCTTTTTTTGTATACTGTTTTTGCAGTGTGGTCCTCGCTAGTGAAATTTATAAGTAATTCACAACATTGATCTAAAACATCTCAAGAATAGAAATGACTTCCTGTTCAAAAGTACAGAACTGATAGACCCTGCCTCTTCATACTTGTACTTCATTGCAGAAAGCTGCGTATTGTCATTTGAATTTTTATTTAAATAATCACAAATAAATACAGAAAAATGGGCGGAGATACAGGGTAGATGAAAACCAACATTTTCTACTCAAGTACTCAATCCTTAAACGTATCCTTAAAGTATGAATCAATCAAAATACAACTCTGTATAAGATAAAGGTGAAGGAACATCATTACAACATGGTTAAGTGGATTTTATATTGCCTTTAATGAATATAAACAGAGGCATTGATGGCAGTGAGGACAAGGCAAATTTATTCAATAGTTGTTTTTTTAACCATCATGCCACTCCAGTAGCCACTCTTCCACATAATGGTCCTGCTCACACCTCGTCTACAAACCCCTGTCTGACCGCACTCAGCTCAGTGTGATGAAGACCAAGGAATTGGTGGTGGACATGAGTAGGACCACAGCTGCTGTGACAAAACCTGCACCCAGAGGTCAATGTGGACATGGTGGAGGCGCAGAGAGTCTATGCAGCTTACAATGCTCATGATGTTCTACAATAAAGAGCTATAATGACATGCTGTGATCTGTGACTATAAACTGAATTACCCCTCAGAGATGAAGGTTTTCTCTGTTCTCACCTGAGTATCGTCATTCTGCATTGAGTGCTCTTCAGTCCAGAACAAAGCAGCTCCACTCCTAAGTCCTTGAGGTCATTGTAACTTAGATCCAGATGTGTCAGTCTGGAAAATTTTGAGCAAAGCACTGAAGACAGAGGACCACAGCAGCTCGAGGACAGGGAACACATACTCAGACTGAAAGAGAAAGAGATTTTAATTCTCTCTCAATTTTTTGTTCTGAACAGTTTGAACATTACATGGTTCCTGAAAGGGATGAAGGGATGATCGATCTTGGAATTCAATAGAGCTCTAACATTTAAGATATTGTAGTAGATAATATTACCAAAATCAGGTATATTTGGATAAATTGAGTAAACATGATTGCAGAAAAAGGTAAATACAATAAAGATGTCTATAGTCCCATTTCTATACCAATGGCTCTGCAAACCAAAAAAAAGGGACACTTGCTCTGCCCAATATAAAATATTATATGCCTAGAAAAGATTAACCAAACACGGGGTAGGAATTAATCTGGATTTGGACTAGGTTTGACCTCTCCTATTCCTGGTTGCCATATGATCGAGTATGTAATTGCCGACATCAAGAGGTAGATGTCCCAAACTTTTCTTCAGGTAAGTGAAAACAAAACAGAGATCCTTCAAATTGGAATGTAAACATTCCCCCTCATTATGGCAGCTACAAAATCCAGGGTACAATAAAAGGATTGGGAACGACAACTGTGAGTAATCCTGGACTCTCTTTTCATCATTAATTTACCAAAGTTACTGAATCCTGTTTTCTCCAGTTAAGGCTTGTGACAAAAATGAAGCCATTTCTATCCCAACCTGGCGTAGAAAAAATATACTCTGCTTCATTTGTTCAAGGAGTGATTATTGCAACGCCCTTTACTCAGGGATCAACTCAAAGTATAGTTACTGCCTTCAGTTAATTCAACTCCAGTATTGGTCCCCCCTACATTGAGTGTGTGTTATCATATTGATTTTAAAATTATTTTAATCAGCCCTTAACCATCAAATGCCTTCTCAGCCCGAGCTCCAAAACTTTGGAATGCTCTACCAGAAAGTGTTAGACAAGCAAATCGCTTAAAAACACATTTTTACAGAAGGGCTTTTTATTGATTTTAATTGATGATCTAGTGCCATAAATTAAGTCTTTTGAGTATTTCTGTTTGATCCTCACTGTTTGTGTTTTTTTATATGTTCTATGTTTTGTTTAAATGTGTATGAATGAATATTTAAGTTATAAGGCAAATTAAACTGCTTAGATTTGACAAAAAATGTTTTGTAAAATTATTACAATTGTTTGATGTTGCATGCACATTGCAAATGAAAATTTTACACACAGACTCTTTTGAGTCTTTATTCTTCTTACCAAAGAGTCTTCAGTTTGCAGGAGGTGCTCTTTAGCCCTGAACACAGTTGTTCTACTCCTGAGTCCTCGAGGTCATTGTCACTGAGATCCAGATGTGTCAGATTGGAAAACTCTGAGCAGAGCACTGAGGATAGACGACCACAGCAGCTCGAGGACAAGAGACAGCTGCTCAGACTGAAATGAGACGGAAATATGAATTACAATTTTTGTATTCAACTTTTGATTAAATTAATTACAGAAGTATTAGTACTTTTTTATCGTTTGGGTCAGTAACTGCCAAAGGCCAGCTGAAGGTAACTTAATTTATGTTATAATACAACCAATGATGGTGATTGGAAAACTGTTAAAACATAGAGGAAAATACTTCAAGGTCTTATAGTATGCAAAACTGTTGTGAGCTTTTAACCATGTTACAATATTTTTTTCTTATCAAAAATAACATGCCTTGAGTTGGGTCTTGATTTGATTTACGATTCATTCACACATGTAATTGGGTAACCGAGTAATGAATGTTCAAGACTTAAAATACCATGTGATGTCATTATGTGGTAGATGTAAAGTTAACAGCTATTTTTAGCCTCAGTTGAACAGTTTTACTCTAAAATGCACTAGAACAACCTTAAGTCTTTGCCTTGCCTTGTTGTACCTTTTGTACAGCTGAAATTCCAGTATAAAGTCTCCAATATCTTCAAGTGCACCAAGGAGTGAAGCAGTTTCAATAGCTGTAGCTTCAAAGTTCAGCAATTCCAGGGATGAAATCATCTACATGATTCTAGTGTAGGTGTATTGAGTTTAAAAACACAGTGGAACAGTGTTTTTTGTTTGAGAGAAGAACTCATCCTACATATGCAGTGTTTGTGTGTTTAACACGTGTGAATGCAACACAACTCCAAGTATGTTTTTATGAGGAAACAACATTATAACATAGATCATGAAATAGTGTAATATGGGCCCTTAAATACTGCTGAATGTCTATAATAGGGAATAGGGAGGAGGCCCAAGAGAAAGACAGGGTCACATTCCTAGACTGGAGGGGCTCAGCAGGACACAAGTTTACTCTAACGTGTAAGAATGAAAACAGGTTTTCATAAAATTTACACTCACATTGCTTTGTTGGTTGCTTTGATGACTGGAAGCAGGTGCTGGAGAGCTGTTGGTGAAGCAGAGTATTTTTTCAGATCAAAAACCTCCATCTCTGAGTCTGAGGAGAGTAAGCTGAAGACCAGGGCAGACCATTGAGCTGGACTTAATTTAGAAACCCGTCCCTCTGTTATGGTCTTTTGGATCTGTTCCACTAGAGTGTGATCATTCAATTCATTCAGGCAGTAGAACAGGTTTATGCTTCTCTCAGTAGACAAACCCTCATTGATGCATTCTTTTATGTATTCAATGGTTTTCTGATTTGAATGTGAACTATTTTCTGTGGGAGTCAACAGACCGCGCAGCAGGCTCTGATTGATCATCAGAGACAACCCCAGGAGGAAGCGCAGGAACAGGTCCAGGTGACCGCTTGGACTCTGTAAGGCCTGGTTCACAGCGGAGATGTATAAGACTGTCTCAGGCTCAAGGCTTTCAGAGGAATATGTGGGCTCCAGCAGATTTTTCTCCAGAGCTGAAGAAGGTCTGATGGACGTGAAGAGCAGCCAGAAACTCCTGCACACTCAGGTGGATGAAGCAGTAGACCTTGTCTTGGTACAAGCCTAGCTCCTTTTTAAACACCTGTGTGAACACTCCTGAGTACACTGAGGCTGCTGCAGCGTCCAGTCCACACTCGCTCAGGTCATGCTCATAGAAGATTAAATTTCCTTTCTGCAGTTGCTCAAAAGCCAGTTTCCCCAGAGACAGCACCATCTCCCTTGTATCTGGAGTCCAGGGAGGGTCTGTCTCAGAGCGGCCATCGTACTTGAGATTCTTCACTTTGGCCTGCACCACCAGGAAGTGGATGTACATCTGGGTAAGGGTTCTTGGCAGCTCAGCTTCATTGGTTTTCAACACATGCTCCAGGACTGTGTAGAGGATCCAGCAGAAGATTGGGATTTGGCACATGATGTAAAGACTTTGTGATTTCTTGATGTGTGAAATAACAACCTCACTCTCATCTCCAAACCTTTTACTGAAGTACTCCTCCTTCTGTGGGTCGGCAAACCCTCGCACCTCGGTCACCATGGAGACGCACTCAGCAGGGATCTGACTGGCTGCTGCAGGTCGTGTGGTTATCCAGAGGCGAGCGGAGGGAAGTAGTCTTCCCCTGATGAGGTTTACCAGCAGCACGTGCACTGAGGCGGACTCTGTGGGGTCGGTCAAGACCCGGGTTCGGCTGAAGTCCAGTGGAATTCTGCACTCGTCAAGACCGTCTAAGATGAAGAGCACCTGGAGATGTTGATAGCTGCAGAGATCTTTGGATGGACTGAAGAAGTGGTGCAGCAGTCCCACCAGGCTGAACTGTGTGTCTGTGAACACATTGAGCTCTCTAAAAGTGAATGGGAACAGCAGCTGTATGTCCTGGTTGGCCCGGCCTTCAGCCCAGTCCAGACTGAACTTCTGAGTAAGTACTGTTTTTCCAATGCCAGCCACACCCTTCGTCAGCACTGTTCTGATTGGCCCCTGACTGCCAGTCTGTTTTGTTCTGATTGATTCATCTGGTTTGTTCAGTTCCTGTTTGTCTGTTACTAACTTGATTCCAGGCACGATCTTTGTGAACATGCCTTTTAGTGCTGATGGTCTCTTTTTCAGTTGTTTTGTGTGTGGTGACTGGGTTCCTGTTTGCTCTGCTCTGATTGGCCCATGTCTGTGGGAGGGGCCTTTAAAGATGTCTTCACACTTGATGGTTGTTTCAGATGTGAATCTTTTCCTGGACACTGCCTCGATGTATTTGACCTCGTGTTCCTGGTTGACCCCTGCAGCCCCTCCCTCTGTGATGTAGAGATCTGTATAGATCTGGTTCAGGTGCGTGCGGTTTCCATCCATACTGATGCCTTCAGACACATAGCTGAACCTTTGCTTCAGTTGAGACTTAAGTTTGCTTTGACAAACTCCTGAAAGACATTCTAAAACACACACAAAAATGTTATATTCTTTTTGTCTGAAATGATCTTAAGTATTAGTCAGTATTTAATTGTAGTTTATCTAGTTTTAGTCAACAAAAATGTGGTGCTAATTGAGTCATTTAAATCCATAGAAGGTTTTCAACCACAAATCCAAAATATATATTTTATATCAAATACAATAAAATAAATATGACTGCTTCAAACAAGACTTTTATTATCCAAGATTTCTTTGTATCCAATGAATTAGATTTCCTCTGCGTGGCAGAGACATGGGTGACTGCTGGTGAGGCTAGTGCTTTTGCTGAATTATTGCTGCCGGATTGCTGTTATTTTAACACGCCACACATTTCTGGCCTTGGTGGAGGAGTAGCCACTGTATATAGGTACAGGTGTAAACTGGTCTCTCTGCCCACTACTTTCTCTGGTTTTAAACTATCCTTTTTTGAGCTTGTCTGCCCTACAGGCTGTACGCAGTGATCTACAGACCGCCCAAGTATATGGATTTTATAAAAAACTTTGCTGCTGTTATGGCCGAGATTATGCCCAAATATTCTTATTGTGGGGAATTTTAATATTCATGTCTGATGTCTGAAAAAACTCATGGTAAAGGATTTCCTGGACCTGACTGATTCTTTTAACGTAGTTCAGTCTGTGTCTGCCCCAACACAAGAGCGTGGACATATACTTGACTTAGTTTTATCATATGCCTTGCCTGTTTTTAATTTGGAGGTCTGTGACACTGTTTTCTCTGATATTTGTTATTTGTAACATTGCCTTGTAACATTGTTGAAACTCACATTCCTGCTCAGCGCTCTTAGATCACTAATCCATCCACTGCCGCACAGTTCTCTGCCTGTAACATCCTTCTGTCTCTGCATGGATCAGATGAGCTCAGCTCTTGGTTTTATAACACCTGTCAGATTGTACTGGACTCAGTGGCTCCTCTTAAGACAACGCAGCCCAAAATCAAGCTGGAGCCCTGGCTTAATGAGGAGACATGAGCTGTGAGGCAGCAGTGCCGTAAGGCTGAGCGCAAATGGAAAAAAGGACACACATTACAAGTTTCCTTTCAAATAGACTATTGATGCCTTTATGAGTCCACTTGTAGAAAAGGCCCCATTGTGGTCACTAGGCGCCACAGACTTTGACACTAACTCTCGCTCCACATTTGCCGTGCACCACACTTCACCTGGACTCCTGTCCAATCAGAAGACGCCTTGGACTCTTCAGCGTGCAGCTAGTTGTTAGTCTGTCGGAGAGTCCGCTGCAAGCAGCAGTGCTTAGTAGCGCGGACTATTATTACCTGCCTATTTTGTATATCTGCTGCCCTCTGAGTGTATGCATTGTGTGCGTCTTATGCAAGTAAGTGTTTGTTGTTTAATGCAAATGAGTTGTTATATTATCTGTTCTTTGTTGTTAGCTTGGGCCTACTTTACTTTCAGTCTTGTTCCACGTTATATTTATTTATGTTTTTTACCTCACAATGTGCAGTGTATAGCTATATTCCGGTAACAAGCATTCTTATTCAAGTGCTAATTTTCCAGTTCTGCAAGCAACGCATTGCGTGTTTTTGGAGTTTGTTTATGCTCTGGTTGAGGATCTGGATTGAAGTGTCACTATAATCTAGATTCCTCTCATTCCTTTCATATATTTAGGTTTAATTTTTATTATTCCACAAAAATATACTTTAAGTCATATTTTCAGTGGACGGAAATGTATATAGTTTTAGTTTATATGATTACCTATTATTATTTTTGATTTAGTTTTAGTCTCAAAAAGATACAAAAAAACTATAACAAAAATTCAGACAGAACCAGATGAACATACAGTGTTTCTGACAGTAGTAAACTCACTATTCTGCAGTTGCTCAGCCAGTGGTTCTTGCTTCATTTTCTTCAGGAAGTGCAGTGTGATGTTTAAAAAAGCCTCTCTGACATTCTTCTCTTCCTCCTTCTCCTCACCATCTATGAATTCTGTGCACAGACCCTGGTGAAATTGCTTAAGATGGTGTCTGACAAAGGTGACAATCTTTTCCTCCAGTTGCTGAAACATAACAAAACATAAAGAAACACTAAAGCTAACTTGGACCAGAAATTGTAGAAAAAGGACAAGTTGTTAAATATGGTGGAAGATGGAAGTAAATGTAATCTCATAGATAACAACTGCATGACCAGTGTTGGGAAGGTTACTTTTAAAATGTAATCCCCTACAGATTCCAGATTACACACCCCAAAATGTAGTTTGTAACATAATCCATTCACTTAAAGTGAGTAACGTAATCTGATTACTTTGGATTACTTGATATTGTCATGTTTTTTAAACGACATGAATGTAGCAACCACATCCTGAAAATTCTTGTTTGTTGTCTTCAAATTGTCTGAGCCCAAGTCTCCATGAATAAGCAACTGTTTGCTGTAGAGAAACAAAGACCATGATATCTTAATATAAGAGGTTTTGTCTGTTAAAAACAGTAACAAGATCAGCTTTTCCTTCACCATATAAACAAATATTATTGATAGAGAAGTTATTTTTTATATGAGATCATCTTAAATTATGTCAACCTACTGTTAGGTGTCAGGTTGTTTAGACCTGGTTTAGTCCTGGTTTAGTCCTGGTTTAGTCCTGATTTTTAGACCTGGTTTACTCCTGATTTTAGACCTGGTTTAGACCAGGTCTAGACCAGGTCTTTAGTTCTGGTTTAGTCATGGTTTAGTCCTAGTTTAAACCTGGTTCAGTCCTGCTTTAGTCCTAGTTTAGTCCTGGATTAGTTCTGGTTTAGTCCTGGATTAGTTCTGGTTTAGTCCTGGATTAGTTCTGGTTTAGTCCTGGTGTTAGTTCTGGTTTAGAATTTATATTTAATAATTTATAGAATTATTTCAACAAAGTAACTGTAATCCAATTACCACTCATTGAAACAGTAACTGTAACGGAATACAGTTACTCATAATTTGTACTCTGATTACGTAACGGCGGCACATGTAATCTGTTACTCCCCAACACTGTGCATGACCATATGTTATTCATGATTTTTATCAAGTCACATACAGAGACAGACTGGCATAGCAGAAGACCAACATGAAACACCCATAACAGAGCTGTGATTTTGGTAGATCACTTTACTTCATGTGGCATATATGAAAAAGTAGGACATTCTCTGAATAGGTGGGACAGATGCCTAAATGACAGAGAAGTACACAGACCTTAAATATGGCATCCAGCTGAGTCTGAGACCACTGTTGATCGGGAAACTTAGGATTTAACTCAGGTCCTGGATCTTCAACTTCTGGCTCACTGGTGAAATACAATAACATCACATGTAAAATGCCTGACCTTTGTCTTCAACGCCCAGTCATGTTAGTTCTGATCTTGCATGCCATATCCAAAGTTATTATCCATGAATGTTAAACATATTCACTATATATTTGGGACTGGCTCTAAAAAATTGCCACATTAACCTTTTGTCTTAAAGTGTTTTGAACTGACAACTATTGCATCTTTGGGTTTGAATGATGGCATCACTTTCTGAAACTATTGTGAAAATATAAGCTGAAGTCGCTCAGGACTTGCTGGAGGGACTAGTCTCTCGGCTGGCTTGGGAACACATTGGGAGTCACGGAGTGTGTCATCAGAGGTATAATACTCCCTACAACAGAAGCATAATCAGACTGGATTGTGCTACACTGGAATGAACAACACTATCATAATATCCTGAGGGTTCATGTGTCCAGGTGCTGGGTCCTGTACTGATGGTCCCTGCAGATCACCACCCACTGCCTGATCTGTCTACTTCAGTTCCATATTAAACTACAGGGATTCTAGATTGCTGTGATATCTACTGTATAAGCCCACCCTATCTATGGGTTTCAAAACTATGAAAAATTAGGATAATTGCCATAGTGACAAACAATCTAAAACAAAATTGTATTTTTTTTTTATGCTGCATGTAACAGGAAGCTGAACCTCACAAACAGTCATTTCTCAAGAACCAGATACTCACCCAGGTTCATGAGTAAGTCCTTCTTTGAAAGTTACAGGAAGATCTATGGAGCGATCACTTTTGATAGGAGCAGTGTTGAGGATTTTTTCCTTACTGTTGACTGTTGACATTTAATTCCATCAGTTGAGAAAATATTTTCACAAGTTTAAAGTGTTTGACAGTTTTCACATTTTCACATTATTACTCCGTCTGATGGGATAGTACCTGGGGTAAATATATATCCTAGTTTTACATCAGTCAACTGTCAGTTTGTAAAGGACATTAGAAGGCAAGAAAGTTGAACGTTACAGGAAGTAATTGTTATGAGTTATGTTCTAAAAAGGAATCCCTCTATGTCATCAATACACACAATTTTATCCAGAATGTAATTCATGAGCAAGGACAATAGGTTTCTGATAGTACAAATGTATTTTATAAAGTGTTGTCAAGTATTTTTACTCATCAAATAAAGCTAAATGAGACAAGCTTTGGCCCTTGTTTATAGTTGTTAGGTAATAGCTATGCAATTACAGCTACATATGTCACTGTCCATGTCCAGGACTCCCTAAAAGCTCAGCATTTCTTCTGGGGGTGGGACTTCACTTTCTATTGCAACCATAGCAACCCATAGCAAGCCGTGTTTTCCTATTCACCTGAGCTGCCAAGTCTGAAAAACTTACTACTTTGTCTTTTTTTTAAATTAAGACTCAAAATTATAAATATATGGTTATATTTTTACTTTCTGTTGATACATCTGAGTGGCACCATCTTTACCCCCAAGCACAGTTACACAACAGTCACTTTGTATGTGTATGTGCAGTGGTTTTGCTTGCAAATGTTGATTTTTGACTTTTTTTTTCCACAACACACACACACACACACACACACACAGCACACACACACACTGTGGGTGCAAGTGTGGGTCTGACTGACTCAACCTGTGATGTTTTATGTCGAGAGCTGGATTCGAACCGCCAACCTTTAGATCAGTGGACGAATGCTCTACCAACTGAGCTACTGCATATAATGTTAACTATGTTTTAATAAATTGTGTAGTGTAATCTGTCATATGCACTTAAAGAAACTCACTTATCCTGGAAGGTAATAATAAATTCCTTTGAGTGTTCACTCTTGAGGGACTCACAGCTGGGACCAGGATCCTCCATCTTCCTCTCAAGGCAGAACAGTATACAGTCTTTTTGGTCAGTTTGGGAAAGAAAACAATATTTCATCACTATCCATGAGTTTTAGAAATAGGGCTGCACAATTTAGGAAAATAATAATCTAATAGTAAGTTTTCTGATTGTGCTTACATTTGTGATATATGCTTAAATAATTGGTATGGAAGATAATTTGTTCCATTAGATTTTGAATTGAATTGATTATAAATGCCGCTGAATTCTCTCTTTGAATTTTTTTAACTCTGAAAAAAAGATGTTTGAAGTATTTTTATCCTGAACTTTAGCTGCTGAAATTTTAAGTGTACATTTTCCAAGTGTTTAAAATTCACAGCAAAGATCCAAGATGCCAAGGCAGAAGCAATCGATCGTGTGTGAGTGAGAAGGAGAGGCCGTTTCCTATTGGCTGTTCTCATCTGTGGGCGGGGCTTACACTTAACAAATAAAAGAGATGAGGTTTTGATGAGGATACTGACCAATCAGATTGGTTCTCTTCACCATTTCCTGTTGTTACTAAGTTAGATGGGATCACTTTAGATTGATTTCCTGCTAATATTTTTCACTGTGAATTTTATACTCTGAATTTTGTACACTTTGAAAATGTACACTCAGAAACTAAAATTCTGAATAAAAATAATTCAAACATGTTTTTTTTTCAGAGTTAAAACATTCAAATGAGAAATTCAACTGCATTTAAATTTCAAAATCTAATGAAACAAATTATTATAGTTAGTAGGATTTTGTTCAGAGTGCACATGTCAACAACCAACATTTCAGAGAAGACTGAATGTGCACTGATGAACTACTACAAAAAACACTACTATAAACTATAGATACTACATTTTTCTATATTTTGCTCTACGAAGAGGTTGTAATTAATAGTAGTATTTACAATTTGAAAACTGTGTCAATTGCGATAATTGTCTTATTTAGAATGATGAGAAATTCGGATCATCATTTCGATTAACAATATGAAACCAAATATTTTGAAAGGACAAAAGTCCTCAAAATGCTGATACATAACTGAAAACCATGAATAGCAATATATTACAAATACTATTCACACAATACTATTCAACACTAATGCTACTTCACATTCTTTGATAAGCATTGTGTCCTTAATTCATGTCCTTCATGATGATACAACTTAATTGCTTGGTGTACTTTGCCCACCAGTGTAAATCACGCACCACAAATAAAACAATAAACCAGTGATGTGCCGGCTCAGCACCATTTTAGAATATTTTTCAAAAATTTTATACAATATCAAAATATGATTGCAGAAGTGCACAGTAAATGAAAAAGCATGTGTATGTGTATATACAAAATTCTTCTTAGTTAGAAGTTCATGTTTTATAAGAATGTACACACTTTGAGGTAACTTTTAACAGTTTATACATTAGGCTAAATTATGAGATGGACATTAAAAGCTACACTATGTCACATTTCTGAGCAAGGTCTTGTTACTATATTATTGCCTTGCCCTAAGTATTCAATTAAACTGATCCATTTTGCATTTCTTCAATTACAAATATTTTTCTTGCCGAAAAATACCTCAAAAAACATCCATGCTTACTGTGATTGGTCACCTCTCCACAGATCTGTTCAATTGCGCACTTTTACAAATGAAAGCACGAATTTGGTGAACTTAAACAAAAAAAGTGCCACTTACCAAATCTTCATGTCTGTGCAGGTGCAGTGTTTCATATCAAAGTTGATTTGAGCAAAGTTCAGTTGGGGTGGGACTACTCTTAAAGAAGTTCATGGGAAAGACATGTTGGAATATGATTGTTGTCGTTCTGTTCACTACCGGAAATAATGTTTCGTATGATTCTGGGAAAAAAGTTAAAATGTTAATCATAGTTAAACAATAAATGAAATACATGTTAAAGCCAGAGACTGTATATAGAAGTCCATTTGGTACACTTTTTTATACAGTCTGTGGTAAAACTGTCTGTTGTTGTACACAGTGACATAACAATAAAATTCATCACAGTAAATTATAAAAAAAACAAAACAAATGAGCAGTACACATAAAGAATAATGATAATACTGTAGTTATAATCATCAAAACAATGTTGACCAAAAAAAGAGTTACAGATAGCATTTATTTTGATAGACAAATTTCTGAGTCACCTTGAGAATTTTAAAAGCATTACTAAAAAAAAAAAATTATTACAATAAATAAAGACAAAGTTTGATGTATTTAACAATCCACTTTCTCAGTCACGGTACATGGTCATTCAGGACTTTCAGTGCAAAATTGGCTGCCATTAGAGATTTTTAAAAGAAAACTTTCAACGTACATCAGATAAAGAACAGTCACATTTCTATTAAGCGTATAGTACAATATAGCAATAAATTAATGACAAAAACTGCATTTGGAAAAGTAAACGGAGCACAGTTTGCCTTAAACTTTGGATGAAAACAAAAAAGTCAGCAGAGTTATTGAGCTATGACAGTAAACAACATGGAACAGTACATTTGTTTTGTTTTGAGTGATGTTGTCAAGTTATGAATAAATATTACCTTCATTGCACAGCCTCATGCCATAAAGTCTTAAGGTTAGTTTTAAAGTAGTGAAAAGAAAAAATAAATAAAATCACAGTTCAGGTGTAGAAAATCAAGCAAAACATTGTGAACACTAGACACTAAACCAGGATTAAACCAGGACTAAACCAGGTCTAAACCAGAACTAAACCAAGTCTAAACCAGGACTAAACCAAGGACTAAACCAGGACTAAACTAAGTCTAACTCATGTCTAAACCAGGTCTAACTCATGTCTAAACCAGGTCTAAACCAAATCTAAACCAAGTCTAAACCAGGTCCAAGCCAGGACTAAACCAGGACTAAACAAATTCTAGTCTATAGTCAGGTCACTTGTTGTTGTTGTCATAATGTTTTGGCAGATTCATATGCACTTTCAACATTTAAACATTATTAACAATCAGAAAGTGTTTAAACCTTAGATAGCTACAGGAATTCAAAAGACTTTTAGGGTAATGTAGAAACACATATCATAAGAAAACCTTCACATGAGACATCCTTGGGTATGAAGTGTGTACCTTGTAAAGCAAAGCAATCTTACTAAACATAGAACCTCATTCATGAAATTATTCAAAGTATATCACAAAACTTAAAAAAAATAATGAATAGATAATATGGAAGTTCAGTAAATGAGTATTCATGCTGTGTGGTGACCCAGCACCCTGTGAATCCCTCTGCTTCTGGTGACTCTAGCATCTCATGGTTAAAGAGAGGGTATTACACTTCTATGTGTTATTAACAGCTAACACAGAACATATTCAGGTCACCATGTTACCTTGTATTGTTTTGAAAATGAAATATATGCCAAAAACAATATATCCAAATTAGTTCCAGTTTTGTTTTTTACGCTCTGAGTCCCACTCAGAGTTAGCCAGGCTGGCACCACCTAATACCTCCACTCAAATTGATTTCTCTCCAGCAACTAGGTCAGAAATCAGAATACACTAGACGGTTCACAAAAACCCCAGAAGTACGAGTTTGGGCACCAGCCAATCAGCGAAAAGCCATATATTCTGTGTTGGCAACTATTCCCGAGATCAAGGATTTAAAGCCGGAATAAAGAGAATGTTTGGTGAATTTCATCAAGGGGAAAGATGTTATTGCCCTTCTTCATACAGGATCTGGAAAAAGCTTAATATACCAGTTAGCCCCGTTAGCAGCGCATTACATACGTCACGACCAAATAGCAGCGATTGGTTAAATGAAAAAAAGTACCCGCCTACCGTTGAGAGAACGAATTCTAACGCTACGAGGTCAGACTGTTTCCACAAAGTGAAACCGGCTGATGAATCAGGCTACCGCAGAGTGACATCATAGCACAGTCTGAGTGCATGTTCACACATGAAACTACTGCACATCGCATCAGCTTTGCCAAGTTGTTGTGTTTTTTTTCCATTTTTTTTTAAATATTTATGGGAAATTGTCGTGTGGGAGCATGGGTGACGTAGGCTTGTGGGCTGAGCTTTGGGCAGAGTCGTACAGCTAACCATAAGGAGGGTTTGAATAGGGCCTGGGAGAGATCAATACATTACTCAAACATACATGCATGACATCTAAAACCTCTTCGAGCATGTTTTTCATGAGAGAATGTTATAACATGGTAGAAAGCTCCAAAAGTCGATTTTGCGTAATACCCCCTCTTTAAAAATTAATCAAAAAGGTAAAGAAATATACAAAAAAAACAACACTAAATTGTTCTTAATACAATGAATACTTCATAAAAAGGGGAGGCTTAAGCAACAATTTTTAGTACAGTTGGATACGTAAAGTAGTATAGGAAACACAACATAAATTACATATATATAGTTTGAAAAGTTGATTAAAGCTGCCATTCTTACTGCATCAATATCTGCAGTTAAGTTAATCTCAAGTTACATTAATAAAAATAGCGTCTTCATAAATAACGTCTAAACAAATAAGAGCTGTTTTAATCAAGAGCACCATTGAACTACAGCAGTGCAACGCCAATACAGTACTGTGGCCTTATCAGTCAGCAGGTTTGAATCATAGACAAATGAATTAAATGCTACAAATCTGATTTTCAAAAACATTAATTTGGGATTTTTTTTTTAGACCTGGTTTAAGTTGAAGAGTTGATCAAATCCAGTATAGACGTACACAAGAAAGTGTTTAGTAAATGGACAGAAATCAGATTCGAATCATATTTTGGTGAGCATGTGAAGGCCACTGTCCAGATTAGAAAATAAGAAAATTATCCATTCTTCTCTACTGTGTTATTAAAACTTTTTGCCTTAATTATTAGAATTATAATCGCCTGTTTTCTTTTCCTTTTTTTAAAATTTCTGATCAGTAATGACGGATAAGACCAGTGATTTTTGTATCGATCTGATACAAGTAATAAAAGTGAAAGTACTGCCTGCCTTAACTGATCTAAGAATTAAAGTACGTTTTTAAGTGAATACATGTCGCCACTCCTCTAAGTAGCTTCTTAAAGTCAAAATATACAGTATTTACCCAACGTCACAAGTCCTATAAAGAAATGAGATAGTATGAGTTCCTTCATCCTGGTCCAAATAAATAAAAGTCAATATCGGGCTTTAGCAAAAATGGTCCTTGAAACTCCTTGAAACTTTAACAGTCATTTTAGAAGAAGAAATTAATGCTGTGGCAAGAGCCCTGAGAAATAGAAAATTGCCAAAAGACCAAAAAACTTGAAAAATTTGCGGTTTTGAATCCTAAGACAAGAGCTACATCGAAGAGTGTAAAATGGCAGCAGGGTCCTTGTGTTACTATGGTCTTGGCTGTGAACCTGTCAACGTCTATCAGCTACAGTGGCAGAGCAGCAGTCCGGCCACTAGGGGGAGCAGGTTGAGCATCAAGAGCCAGAGGGTGATGGCCAAACCCGGGGAACTGGAGCACGGATCTGAAATACAGAGAAAATATGAGGAAATAATGGTGTTGTTCACATTTTATATAACGCATTTCTCCTTTCAAGGCTCTCAAAGTGCTTTATTAAAGGATCTTAAAGGATAATTCTCTATTTACACACCCATGCATGTACAGTAGACACTTGGGGCGAGACGGGTTAAATGTCTTGCCCAAGGATACTGAAAAAATGATCATCAATGGGATCTGAGACATTTTCTTCCAACCTGCAGCTGTGGCTATCTCATCACAGCCTATTAATAAAATAAATGCATGAATTCAAAAGCAACTTTGTGCTTCTGGAAAAGGCCTTTGTAACAATAATGCATCCTGCTTCATTGGACAGTCAGAAAAGTTTTGGCCAGGTAGTAAGTAAGTAAGTAGTTCTGAAGTCACAGATGTCTTGGGGTAGACTGACTGAAGCAAGGCTGCCAATCTGCACCATCGGCCCCTTCAACCACCACAAATTACTCACAAACAACATTTATATAGGCAAGGAGAGTCAAGTGTTTTGCCTAAGAGTACAATGACAGTATGCAGTGGTTTTCCCTGGGATTGAAACTCTACAGTTTGAATTAATGGGTGAACACTCTAAGCAGCTCCAGCAACTCTAGTCACATTTTATCAATAGTAACAGTATTACGACCAGGCTCTTTAAATAAACAAACTGACCAATGGGGGTGCTCCTGGAGGCGTTGATGGGCGGGACTTGGTGGGGCAGGGGACAGAGGTCACAGAAGTCGGAGCAGTTGGGGCAGAGGAGGACTCCGTTGTAGACCCAGTCGTTGGCTTTGACGCTCACACTGAGAGGCTGCCCCTTTCTGAGGCAGAGATATGAACGGCTGTGGACATGAACCACCAGGCCCTGAGGAGAGCAAGAGACCTGCAGCACAGACACGGGTTAGACACGCTTTTGGGACTACTCTAAAACATAAGCTCTGGTGTTTATGTATTGCTTTTATTATAATGTGCAAAACAACAGAATGTCACATTCATGAAATCACACTGACAGTGCCCTCTACTCTTCTAAGGTCAACATACGTGGTGATATGTCATATTTAGACTGTTGCACTTCCTAAGTAAATAATAGGAAATAAAACATGTTTATTTGTGGACCCTGCTGTTGCAATGTGGATGTGTTTTGGACCTCATGGAAACTTGAACTGGAGACCACTGGTGTAGATTGGTTGTTAGTCTGGACTCTGCCGTGGTCTAAAGTCAGTTGTACCTTGTAGCAGCCGGAGCCCCAGTCTGGGTAGCTCATCTTCTTGGTGCACTGCTCCATCACAAACGCAGACTTCTGGTACAGACATACAGACTCAGGGCCATACTGCTCTGCTCCATAGTTCCTCCACCAGTCTACACATGTAAGAAGTGGTAACATCACATGACACTTATGTAGTCAAGAATAACTGGAAGTAGTAACCCACTTATGCATCACTTGCACAAATACCAGTTTATCTTGATTCTTGAACTAGAGCTAGAGCTAGAAAATTCTGTGTGGTTTTACATTGTCACATTAAAAATTGTTAAATTTAAAAAGACAGAGGATTGGCTGTAGACCTCTCCTAAAAACTGATCATTGTCAAAAGAAAATAATTGCAGCTTTTGTGATTTCGACCTGATTTCAATACATTGTGCAGCTCTAATAGAATCTTTGAAGAGCAGAGACCTGGTTGGTTTTCAGAGACGCGGCAGTACGAGTTCCTCTGGTATTCTCCGCTCAGGTGCCAGCTGAACTCTTGGCTGAAGGGACAGAAGTCTGCGATCTCCACAGCTCCTCCGAAATATGACAGCTCCTCTGCAGCAATGTCTGGGATCTGATCAAAATACTGACAACAACATGGAAGTGAAAAGTTTGGAATCACTCAAAGGGTGAGTTCGGACTTGGACAGTCACCACATATGCATAGGTTCTAAACTGGGGTTATATCCATAATTTTACCTAATCCAGACTAAACCAAGTCTGGAACAGGACCAAACCAAGTCTACAGTATGACTCAAATTCTGTGTACATGAATTAAAAACTGGCAGAAATGTCTTCTCTGCCAGCACTAACTAACTCCAAACCCTTACCCCTTTATTTATGTAGTTACTAAACCTTAATCATTCTTAATGAACTATTTGTTAATTGTAAATTGAGATGTAATTCATGCTTCATTAAGGCTAATTAAGGTGTATTTATTATAAAGTCTTACCACTGAAAGGACTTTAAGACTTTATGACAAATGTGTGAAAGAAATCATTTCAGCATTTTAAAACAAGTTGTTTGGTTGTGGGAGATTCACAGTTCCTGAATGAAACAGAGTTATAAAGGCCCCTGACCTACATCTGAAATAATGACGCCATACAATGGAACAATGTGAACACTATAGTTGGATCAGATACCTGATACTCCGGGGGCAGTTCCTGTGGATACTTCTGTAGGTTGCAAACAGCCACAGCAAGTTGATCCTGTCGACAGGTGAGCTGCAAAGGAGACGCCCGCACCGTGTCACAGAACGGAGTCACAGAATGTCTCCTGCAACAAACAAGTAACATCAAAACATTAGTAAAACAGTACACTAAAAGATTACATTTTTTCAGTATGATAAATTATTGGAATGATCTTACCTGAGATGTAAGGACTTAAAAACACAGAGGAACACTTCCTGATTACAACACAATTGAAAACAACAGTGGGGAGTAGGGATGGGCATTCGATGAAATTTTCTTAATCGATCGTTGGAAGAATTAACGATCGATTATCGATTAATCATTAACGTTTTTATATTAAAATGATCATCATTATTATTACTATCTGCACTACTAATCTGCATAAATAAATTCAACTTTACGACATATAAACCGTAACGACTCTCGAGCCACATCAATCCGTTTGACATTATAATGTGTTTAATTCAGTTTTGCGCAACTCTCACAGAAACGAAACTTAAAACCGCATCGCTAATTTGCATAAACTCAGCGAAGATAAAACTACAGCTCTTGTGTCGCTGATGCGGTCAATTTCTGTCAGATTAAAAGACATGATTCAGTGGAATACAGGTTAGTGTGACCATATTTGCGTTTGTCAAAACCAGGACACTGTATGGGGAGTGGGAGGTGGGGACTCGTCATCGACATTGAGCGACTCTCACCTGGTAAAGCTTTTTCCCACTGGACACCGAAACATATGTGCTGCTTTGTACACTGTGCACATGGACTCCCACTTGTCCCGAACGCAACAGAAAGCGTGGAATTTCTTGTCCAAATCATCGTTAAATACACATTTGTGCTTTGGCACGCTGCAGGCTGACCTACTGTTTGTGTCTCGCTCCTTCTAAGTGCAGAGATACATGTACGGACCCCTGTTTGGTCACGCTACGAACAGCAACCTACATTCGGTTTGTCAATTAAAATTAACGTAATCGATGAAATTCTTAATGACTAATTATCGATTAATCATGCCCATCCCTAGTGGGGAGCAGGTGTTTTAATTGCATTTTTGTTATGGGATAATCGTAAAAAATAACATAATTTTATCCAATATGAACAACCTCCAAAAAAATATTACTCTAAATCGATCTTTTGATTAGAACTTAACCATTTTGGAAAACTGGATATTTGCACTTTTTTGACAAATAAATACCTAGTAGCATTAACATTAAAAAGAAGACCGAAATACAAACTGTTAAACTAATACAACAGGCAAGTTATAAACAGGGAGATTTAGTTCTCTGCAGAATATATCATATTATCATGACCGTTTAAATTGGATTAAACTGTATAAAGTATAGTATTCATTGTATCTGCGCTCCTCACCTCTCTCTCTGATTGTCCATCCAGAACTTGCAGCTCTTCATCACAAAGTCACAGCCCAGACCTCGTCCCCAGTCCAGCCTCTGTGCCAGGCTGTAGTTGGCCCAGTACCAGCCGCTGTCCTCCATGAGTGCGAGAGTGAGCCGCGAAAACACACGATTCTGAGTGTGCGAGCCCGTCATAGCCTCATTCTACACAGAAAGTACAACATTTAAATATATTTACTATTTTTTTTTTTATTATTATCACTAGTTTATTATCTTAATTGTTTATTAAGTATTATTGTCTCTTGATACTTTACAGTGATACTAAGGAGGGTGGAAGATCATGTATGTCTATGGAGGAATGTTTAGTTGTTACTATGGTGAGACAATGCACACATTAGCACATTACCAATATATTAAGTTATACTTCTTCCCACTGTTTTTTGCACAAACTTGCAGCTCAATAACCTCTGTATAATATGTACTGTTTTGATTTGCAACTGCTCTTGCAATTTTTATTTGTGACATGACTTGTGTTTTTATAGATTTTATGTTTGAAATAAATTCATTCACATTCATTCACAAACCCAGCCCAGAATCAAATGGCTACCTCCAGCAGCCTCTTCTCCCAGTGATTCAGTTCAGTTCCTGTTCCTCCCTGGTTCTCCAGCTCCATCCCCTCCAGAATGGGACAGTTGAAGTGTCTCCGTGCCTCCTCCTAAAATCACATCGCCAAGTGAACACACTGCAGTTAGAATGTAGTATGTATAAGTTGGTTTATAAAACAGAGATGCAGTTCCTCACCCTGACTCTGGGGGTGACGAGCACATGGACCTGGTGCTGCAGCATTTGTCCTCCTCTGGTGTTCCACAGTCGGGTCACTCTCTGGATCACAGACTCACTCCACTGGTACAAGCCCAGACTACAAGAGACAAGGAAAGACGTCACTTCTGGTTGAGTGTAATCTGTTTGCAAATTGTTTTGCTCGCTGCCTCTTCTGCTATTGCCTGCCTGTTATTGACCAATGTCTGTTTCACTGTTTGATTCACCAGCAAGGACCACACTACAACAGTAGAATACGATAAGATATTCATTGATGGTGGATAGATGTGATGGCTGGGGGGAGATTCAGGGTGGGGGAATCATCTCCAATCCAAAATGGTCACCCAGCTGAATCGGAACCCCTCTCCTTCAAGATGAAGGATGGACGAAAGACACAGGTGAGAAGGAGGGGGTGGGAGGGACACAGACGGTGTTGTCCGGATAGGCCATATAAATAGGCTTCTGGGTAATTGAAGGCGTGGTTGAGATAAGCTGTAGTTGGCTGGAGTGGAGGTTGAGGCGTGGTCCAGCTCCTGTACCTCACTTAATCATATTAACTCCACTTGTCTAACTTTTTGTTGGTTCAATCAATTATCTTGTTGTGATTTTGGACTCTAGAAAAATACATTTAATTGAATTGTATCATATACATTTGTAAACAAAGTAGCGACAGTCAGGTTTGCAAAGTCACTGCAGGAAACTCAAAGGTTCGGACTCACGTCTCATTGAAGGGAGGCAGTCCACTGGCGAAGCGAGGAGTCAGCGGTCTGCCCTCATCATCATGGAAGAAAGCAAAAAGACCCGCCGAAAAACCCTGTACAAACAAAGAGATCAGGAGTCTAACCCACAACCTCCTTACTGAGAAAAAGAAACAGAATAACTACTCTGCCACAGTAAGACAGGGTGGGCATACACATTCCAGTCAGAGAGATTAGTAGTCTGTTGTACTGACCAGAGCGTGTATAATCTCATGTTTGACAGTGGACAGCATTCCTTCAAACTCCTGCGGTTGAGACGAGATCATGGCTGGACACAGGTTAGCGTATCCTGCTATGGGTCTGTGGACAAGGAGAAAAAAACTACATATTAGCAGTAGCATTAGCTGTTCTAATTATGAGCATATTTCAACAGAACACAAGAATAGAAAGTAGATAGTGATTTAAAGTATTGGTGGAAACTTTGAGACAAAATTTAGACTTGCCCTGATCTGATTCTGAACAAGTATAAGACAAAGTTGACCATGTTGGCCGTGCTTTATTATGACTGGGGCATTAAAATCCATATGGAACACCGAAAATCAAGTGTCACTGGTATTATGGTAAAAACAACAAATCAAATATGGAAATTAATAATATACATTCATCGTTATTGTTGTCATCTACAACACAGACCAGGAATCAAGTTGTGACTAGAGTGACCAATATATAGGTTGGCCAATATATCGGGCTGATATTTGCGTTTTGTTAGCGCATCAGCACTTCTGCAGACGTGCTTCTCACCGGTCGAGTTGTGCCTCCAGTTGGCAGTAGGCGGCGTAGGCGACGATGTTTTCCTGCCCGCAGCGCTCAGTGGTGATGCCACTCACATAAAGCACAAAGTCGGAATCCTCCACTCCAGAACCATCAGCTGGACCAGTGGGACCACACGACTTCCCCAACTTCCCCGGCTCACTGCACACCTTACACTGCTGCAAAGACAATATCAAGAAAAAAAATTATTTTAAGGCCTATTCTAACAAACTGGCATTTCGCAGTGGGCAGCACAGTACAGCGCCCGGGGACCCATCTCCAGATCTTAAGCTAGTCTTGGTCAGGACTACCTTAGCCGGAGGATTTTACTCAGGTGCATGCTTTGGGTTGATGGGAGAAACCAGAATGCCCAGAGGAAACCCAGAGACATGCAAACTCCACACAGAAAGACCCAGGTGGCAGGGGAGTTGAACCCAGAACCTCCTTGCTGTGAATGTTAATCACTCAAGTACTGGGTAGTCATCTCTGTACCAGCACCTACATCCAGTGTTTTTCTCACTGACCTGCAGGTGGTGCTGTGGGACGATGACAGGTCCACATCTGGTGACCTCGGCACAGGCGCCCTGACAGTATCGGTGAGGGTCATCTCTCTTCCTCAGGTACTGGTTTGTGGAACATTGTCTGCGGGTGATTTGAGGAGAGCTTATTTTAATATTAATTTAGAAACAGCACTTTCATTTAACATACAATTGTTAATTTTGCATAAGGTATCGCCTTACTACCTTTGATGGAGCAGAGATATTTTTTTACCTGCTGAGAAGCACTGGTCCCACTCTGTGTCTGACGCTGAAGGCTCTCTGCAGATAATCAATAGCCTGAGGAAAAAGCTTATCCTAAATGAAGATATACAAAAATTAACTTAGGATGAGAAAAAAAACTTTTAGTTTAGAAAAAGGTGAAAGATCTTTTCTACAGTGGCCAAGGCTCTACAACTTGTTGTGTACTTTTATGTAGTAATGTAATTAGCATTTTGTTGTTTTTTGATATGTTTGCGTGTTTTGATATTCCTGTTGAAGACTCCGATCAGTTTGACCTGCCAGGGCTAACATATAATAACAATATAGTAATATCATAAGTGATCTGTTAGACGTATGTTCAAAATATTTAGTTGTTTTGTTTTCCTATTTGAAGTTTGTGACATAAAAACAAGCGACATACAGTACAGTACTGTACTGATGACAGTACTGATGACAGTACTGATGACATCACTACTGTCATCTAAATACACGTACTGTTTTTATACTTTTATAATTATGTTATATTTATAATGACGTTATATAGCAAAAATTTACTTTTTATTTCAAAAGTCTACTCACTTTTACCAATCTCCTCTTGTCAGCAGATAGCCTAGAAGGATAAAGTATAAGAAATATTAGACAAAACTATCAAATTTCCACTAAGCAGCATACAGGATATAAAAAAAAAATTTAAACGTTAACACTTACTGGTCAACGCTTTGGTCATAAATGATTTTTATTCTCAGCTGCAGATCTTCATCAGAACTTCTCTTTGTCAAACGCTCGTGCTGTAGGTGGACATGGACCACCTGCGAAAACATTTCATAAAAACCTAAATATTTTTGGACAATTATGAAAAAAGTAAACGCTAAATCACAGAAGACAAGTCATCATCACTGGAGGATTTTTTCATGGAACTGCAAAATTAAAAAATATCAACTATTTATAGCCCATAATTTTAAACATTTGACAATTATATTCAATTTATAGATTTATTATTATTGCATTTGACAGTCTTATAGTGTCCAAAATGTGGTTAAAAATTCGTAACAGAACCATACTCATGTTAAACAATCTGTAATAGTCAAATTAAGGTGGTTGTCATCAAAATATTGTGGTGTTAATAGAAATAAATACCCATTTTGTCTAATAGTAGCTTATATGCGAACACAAAATCAGAAGATAATATTGCCAAAAATGATTAAATAACGAGGCAAAATTAACATGGTTTATCAGTGACAAAGTATAAAAAGTCCTTGAATTTATAGGGGGTATTTTAACCAACAGTAATTCAACACTTTAATAGTTACTAAGCGTTAATAAAGAAAGACCAGAGTTAGCATGCTAGTTAGCTTAGCCCGCTAGCTGTCAAGGGCCATGGGAGTATTAATAAAATCTTATTATGTTCTTCTTACAGACTGCAGACTGCTGACAGCGACTTACTTCATCGGGAGCGGGCACTTTGTGATTGCATGCGCCGTGACAGCTCACAAAAAGAGCCAGGGAGGAAATAATGAGCGCAGACCCGAGGATCCAGGACACGGTCACCGGCTTCCCATCGCAGGTAAGCCGAGGATCCATTCTCCAATCCCGGCTAGATCACTCCCAGTCAGCAGCTCCCTTTCCGCCGGCCCGGTCCTCTCCGTGCGCGGCCCATACATCGCTTTCGGGATGGGTCAAGACATGTCCGCATCCCGCAATGACCGTGGAGATGAAAGGAACGGAGGAATGGGGCTAAACACAGCGGGGATGAGGCGAGCTGAGGCGGGCAGAGCAGCGGAGGATCATCGGTGTGTCGCCGGGAGTCAGAGCCGCGCCACAGAGATCCGGTCTGGAGGAGATCACTCACTGTCAGCTCTGACAGAGACGCATATGGAAGATCATTAGTGTCCTTTTAATTTTAAATGCTGTTGAATTTCTCACTTTAAATTTTGTTTAACTCTGAAAAAACATGTGTGAATAATTTTTATTCAGAATTTTAGTTACTGAAATTTTAAGTGTACATTTTCAAAGTGTTTATATATATATATATATATATATATATATATATATATATATATATATATATATATATATATATATATATATATATATATATATCACCTTGTAAATATTCAGCCCAAATATTCTCTAGCCCTTAAATGCAGTCAAAATTCAGAGAGTAAAATGCTCAGTGAAAAAAATTTCCATCAAAGAGCCAAAATGCCAAGGCAAAAGCAATCAATCCAATTTAACTTAAAGGTTGTATGGAGGATTTTTTTTTGTTTCAAATTGTCAATGATAGCATTATAGAGATGCAGTAGCCTTGTAATTATGATGACCAAAAAAAAGAGAATAAAAATTCATCAACTCTGGACGTGGTGGGGCCAGATAAACATTTGCCAATAGATAACGACACTGCCTCGTTATCTGTTAGCTGACAGGCTGTCAATCAATCTCCCTACGTTTCTAGCGTAACTGACTTGCCTGCGCGCCGCCGGTACGTGGTTTACGTACGCCTGTCATGCAGTCCACAGATGCAAGACGCTGTTTACTCCACCAACGCAACAGTTCTTAGCGGCTTTTTTTACCTATATCTTCCTCGCAGTTAGCACAAAGTTTGTTGCAATGGCAGACAAGAATCCAGGAGCAGTTAGCCGCAAAAGAAAATCCGTTTTTGAGATTGCTGAAAGAAGAAGACAAGGGGAAAAGCAGCGAAGCCAAACTAAGGTGATTCTTGAAGATTCATTCCAGCGATGGCGCAACTGAAGCAGACGCAGGGTCTAAAGACTGACGCATTGGTCGCCAAATTACTCCTGGACAGGAAACTTCTGCTTATTATGAAAACGTACTTTATTTCCAAGAGCTAGTCAAACGTTTTTCAGGACACGAAAGCGATATCCTATGTCTGAAAACGTAATTTTCAAGGCAAAGAAAGAGTCCGCTTGCTGCTGCGTGTTGTAGCTAGTTCATTCGCACTGAATCTCCGCGCAACCTTCTCTGCACCCCTTTCCTGCTCCTCTCCCCGCTGCCTGATCCGCTCTTCCCCCTGCTCCTCACTTCTCCGGGCATGGAATCTCCGCGCACTGCTCCCTCTCTCTCTCTCCCTCTCCTGCTCCGCTCTTCTCCCTGCTCCTCACTTCTCGTCCGCGCGCACGAAATGTCCGCGCACCCGCTCCCCCCGCTCCTCACTTCTCCGTCTTGCCTAACCAACACTGTAGTTAGTTGTTTACAAGTCATGTGCAGCGCACCGGCTGTAAACAAACCTGTTTCTGCCGTAAGGAGGAGGCGGGAGGAGGCGTTTCTACGTAGAGGAGCTGTAGGGGAGGGGGGGTGGTTTCACGCATGCGCAACATTTGAAAAAGGACAAACAGTCGCTGGATTTCTCGTTCCTTGGAAAATCCTCTATACAACCTTTAAGCTGCACTCACTACGTCTGCTTTAGACCCATGCCTAAGCATGGATGGCTCCTAAAGCGCAGTACATTTGTCCAGTGTGAGTGCAATCATACCATGTCCAGGCATGGCACAGTTGGGACTTTGGCCCGGTTAGAGGAGGTAGGCCAAAGCATGGCACACTGCTTTACTATACGAGTCCTGTGTGCGCGCTGATGTTACTCATATGAGTAAAACAGTGAACAAACTCAGCTCCAAAACACATGGTGAATTCACGCTTACCTTCAGTGAAGAATGTGACAGAGACAGACGTTTTGCAGCCTCTCATCTCTGGCTCTCCTCATTCTGCACTGTTCATATCCATATAACCAGAGGAGCGCGCATCACATCAGGAGTCATATCTGTTTCACTATTTAATAAATATTTCATATCGTTGGACTTATTTTCCCTGCTAAAAGCATTAGCTCTGCTGTGTGACATATAAACAACAGCACCGTGTGATGACGTCATTGGGCTGTGGTCCGGTTCGGGTTGTGCAGGTGTGAGTGTAGCCATAGAACCCACAGCAATCGTGATTGAGCATGGTACGGTTCTAAAGTCCTAGTGTAAGTGCTCCCTTAGTAACAAGCAGGAAATGGTGTAGGGAGCCAATTTAATTGGTCAGAATTATCCTCATCAAAACCTCATTTCTTTCTTTTGTTAAGTGTATGCCTCTCCCAAAGATGAGAACGGCCAAATGGAAAGAAACTCTCTCCTCCTCACTCACATGATTGATTGCTTCTGCCTTTGCTTCTTGGCTCTTTGCTGTGAAAATTAGACTCTGAATTTTGACAGTTGAATTTGAGCACATGAAAATATATGTGCTGAAAATTTAAAAGGTGAAATTTTTATTTTGAATTTGAAATATATTGAAAAAGTTTACTGAAATCTCAGAATAAAAATAATTCAGACATCTTTTTTCAGAGTTAAAAAATTCAAAGTGAGAAAGTGATTCAAAATCCGATGGAACAAATTATCTTCCACAGATACACAACAATGGATCTATAATAAGATTTTCACTTTCAAGTCTTCTGGTCAGATGTCAGAAGTTGGGTAAATCTAAAAATGAAAATCCCCGTATTCAAGATTTCTCACATTTTATTTTCCATGGACAATTTGGATTCTTCAACAGCAGAAATGGTTGTAAATATTGTTTTGCTTTGGCAAAATACCATATTCATTGCGTCAAATGGAGAGGGAATAAACCAAACCATAAACCAATAATTTTCTTGTTTTATTAATGAGTTTAAATTGTATTATAGCTCCATGACCACAGTGGAAAATTGGAAAACAGGTAAAGCCACCTCCCACCTGATTGCTAAATTCCTGTTGTTTTGATGAAATGCTCAATGTAAAAATGTTATTTGTTTATTTTTGTATTTATTTTATATTTGATATGGAATTGATATATTTATATTACTATGCCACATTTTCTTATGTTTACACTTGCCCTCTAGTGTTTGTAAGTTTATGTTCAAATAAATGAATGTAAAATCTGTATTATATTTCCATGTGCACAGCCCTTATACACTGTCTTCTTTGACTTGCTTGCAGACCTTTTTAAAATATCTTCATTGAATATAACTTTCTGGTTGTGGGTCCATCACTTGCAGCTCTACCTTACATTTATAAAATTACAGGTGGTTTATAGCTCAAAAATACCAAGAAAAACAGGCATTCTGACTGAGCAGGGTTGCCTCTCCGCAGATCTGACCTGTACCTTGGTCTGGTTTGTTCTCCATGATAGATGCCATACTGTGAAAACATTCCAGATAAAATGATAACATCTCCATGGAGAAAAGCATTTGACAGACATTAAATTTAAGAGGAACCGATTTACAGTTGAATGTTTTTTTGTTGTTGTTGTTGTTTTTTTAGATATTATCAAGGCCCATAGTGTATGGAAGCCCATTTGTTGCCCATAGTTGTTTATAATATTTAAAATTTGTTACTATACAATATTATACAACTTGTAGTGTAATAATTATAAACAGAAATAACTATTGATCCCTTAATAGTTTCAGTTGCATTTATTTTCACATACAAAACAAAGTACAAAGTCATAAATACAAAATACTCCACAGGACAGCAATACAAATGAATAACAATCACAGTAGATAGTTATAATATTATACCACAATATAATACCAGAGACCAGCTCCTACAAAATAAAAGCACATTTATAAACCAAAGGCACTGTCCGATTCTGCCAGCAGATGTACTATTATGAGATGTCACTGTTTAAGTTTTTACGCCAAAAAGCAACAAATACTCAGTGGTCTAAAATGATTTGGCAGCTGAGTTTGGTCATCCAACATCACATGCCTCTGTGTATTCTTGTTTTGTTTAATTGAGATGGAGTCAGATTAAGTTTATTGTTTACCTACACAGTTTGTGGTTGTGGTTGGAGGAATATTGTAGGACAGGGGTGTCAAACTCATTTTCACCAAGGGCCACATTTGGATCATGTTTGTCATCAAAGGGCCAGGTGTAAAGTTAAGACTTCAACTTTAACTGTAATATCGATGTGTTACAAAAATGTAAAAGTCTGTATTTGATTTTTGATTTCATATTTATTCATTTTGTTTATTTTTATGTTTTTTACATTTTTATTATTTTACTGGTATTCTTGCTCTTATTTGATTTTTACTAGTTTTATTGTCTTAAAGAGGACTAGTAGAGTTAAGTAGAGCTTTATATTTCTATTGGATATGTTTTATCTGTATTGTGCAGCACTTGGGAAACAGTTTTGTTTATGAAATGTGCTATAGAAATAAAGTGGATTGGATTTGATTTAAAGGTTTAAGTTAAAACATTCACATTACTCCTTCAGTAACATTCATGAAATAGCCGTCCTTCTGCATCAATTTTTTCTTTTCTTGGACATTTTTGGGGAAATTTGATGAGTTTTCTTGGCCTCTCTGTTTGGCGAGATGCAAACTGTGGCGCATTTGGAGATGTAGTAGCGGCACAGAGTCACAACATAATAATAAATTATACCTTTTAACCCCTTGTGGGCCACATAAAATGGCTCTGCGGGCCGGATGTGGCCCGCGGGTCTTGCCACATGTGTTGTAGGAGAATAGACCTTGTCACTTCAACAGTTACAAGATTTTAGTTTTGGATATTGTTGATGACTGAAGCATCATTCTTCTTATTGAAAAAAAAAAAAAAAAAATCCTACACATGAGGTGGACTTTTTTTTTTTTTTAACATGAATTATTTCAGTTTAGGTTCTGCAAATTATGAAGTTTATGACTTAAGTCCTTGTTTGGTCCATATCTTTAAAAGTCTTACACTATAGAGGCAACAAGATGGGACAAATCTTCACTATTCCCCCTGTGTCTCTGTGTGCTGGAAGGAAGAAACTCTGTCAGTTTGAACGTCCAAGTCCTTGTCCCGAGAGTCTTCCTGGTTTTGGCCCGGATCTGTGGTGAGTCCAGACCCCTCTTGGACTTGTTCCTGGTTTGAGTCCTGGTTTGAGTCCTGGTTTAGATCCTGGTTTAGATCCTGGTTTAGTCTCTCTGTTTCCTCCTCATTTTGTATTGCAATGAATCGTTCGACCACACAGTGAGCAGTGAGACGCGCTTCGGGGTCGTGGTCCCAGCATTCGGTGATGGTGGAGCAGAATACACTCATGCCCTGAAAGGAAAATGCAAAGTGTGTTTTTAATTTGGGATGTTTTTGAGAATAACAAATGAATGATGTCGCCATGAGGACAAAAACTGGTTATAACCATCTGTCTGGTTTTAAAGGGACAGTTTGGAATTTTGGACATAGGACCTCATTTCGTAGTGAGCCAGAGTGTTGAAGACATGTGGAGACACTTTTTTAAATATTCCATCCAGTCCTTGTATTCACTGGTGTTAGGCTAGCACATGTCAATGGCCATAGTTAGCCTGACACTAAAAACAATCTTACCGAATCCACAAAACACCCAAAGCAAGTCTATTATTACACCAGACTGTCCATGTGAATGTCTGTGTCGATAGAATAATTTTAGAAGTAAAACCAACCTTGCATTTGAAGGATTTATGTCTGAGCAGCAGCAGTGAGTTGTACTTCCTGATAGAAAGCTTGGCAGCAGCGGACTGATATATGAGAAAATAGTCCCTCAACATGCAACGATCATGCAGTGCAAGGTTAGTTTTATTTCAAACATTATTCTATCGACACAGACATTTACATCGACAGTCTGACGTAATAATAGATTTGCTTTTGGTGTTTTGTGGAGTGGGTAAGGTAAGGTTTTTAGTGGCAGGCTAACTATGGCCATTGACATGCACTAGCCTAGCACCAGTGACCTCTGCAAATACAAGGACTGGATGGAATTTTTTCAAAGGTATCTCCACAAGCCTTCAACACTCTGGCTAACTAGGAAATGAGGCATTATGTTGAAAATTACCAACTGTCCCTTTAATATAATGATAATTTTATGCAAGTAGAATAAATTTGATTTAGGTTTCAACTAAGAAACTCTACATTTACAAGGAGAATTACTTGGACACAGTAGCTCACACTTTACAATAGAATGACACATATTTACTTGACTTGTAGCGAAGGAGTATAATTATTTTACACATTTTCTTAGAATTATGAAAAAATGACAAATGCCTGAATCATGTCCACAAGTGTACTTACAAATAAATACTTTTCAAAAAGCCAAAATGACTCTAACTCATGCTTTTTTGAGAAATTTTGCACATTCAGTCCATCTCAGGCCTCAAAATCCATACTTTCATCATACTTATTTTGAAATGCATGGTGTACCAAGAAGTCATTTAAAAGTGCATGCAAAAGCTCAATAATGCATCAAATAGAAGTCAGTTATACTGTGTATGAAACCATAGGCTGAGTTCTGACCTGGTGCTGTGTCCAGGTTGTGGGGATCTCTGGTCTTCCTCTGTCTCTCAGAACCAGGTCTCTCATACTGTCCACACACGGCTGATCGCACACTTTGGACCCAAACGCAGGCTCGTAGCTCTTCACCTCTGCGAACAACAAGTCGCAATGAAGATAGCAGATAACCTAAAAAAGTGTGCATGCATTCAAAACTAATGAGTAATAAGCAAGCCCGTCAGCAGAAATCTGGGGGGCCCTGGGCAAGAAAGCTCACATAGGGTCAACTCTAATATAAATGAAGAGGCAGAAGTTCCAATTTTGGGCCCCTAAAACCCTGGGGCCCATATCGACAGACCCTTTCGACTCCCCTAGTATTAGTAATAATGAAAAAGTGAAAATACAAACAAAACAGTGTATATCCATGTCATGCAAAACTATTAATGGAAAATATGATTAATGTATTTTTTGGACTATAAATTGCTCCAGAGTATAAGTAACACCAGCCAAAAAATGTGTAATGAAGAAGAAAAAAAATATATAAGTCACCCCGGACTATAGGTCACACTTTTTGGAGGAAATTTCTTTTATAAATTTCATGTCCAGGCTTTGTCTATCCATCCAGTGACTTCCAAGAAAGTTGCATGGTGCATCCTCCCGGTGTCACAAGTTTCTCACTCCAAATTTTCTTTAAGCTGCTCGATTACTGTTTTCAGCTGCATATTTCGCTACTTGCAGCTTGTAAACTGCAAAATATGATTTCATTTTTGGGGGTATTTGTGTCCAGTCTTTTCAGTTGTCTCTATAAGTTTGTTTAAATTTTATATTTTCAGTGGTACAGAAGTAATGGTACGATCGACTGACATAATAGAGACAGGACAGAGGCTCTTTCTGCAGGAGACATGCGCAGTAGAGCCAAGTGACAGTGGTACAGGAGGAACAGGAGCAGCAGATACTGACACACAAGCCTGGAGCGCCCTCTAGTGGCTGTCAGTGTGAAAAATTTTAAAACAGTAGGTTAATGAATCCACTTTAATGAATGCTTTGTAAGTACGTTTAGACTAACTATAATGAAATACGCAATAAAAAACACACAGTAACAAGACATATTATAAAAGAGTGGTACCTCCGATGGCCTGGCAGCGTGAGCCCATCTCCCACAGCACCAGAGCCATAGAGTAAACATCGATCTGTTTGAACGCCTCCAGGTCCTCCAGGTTCACCCGGGACTCCAGAACCTCAGGAGCCATGTACCGTGCCGTGCCAACCTGAACACATATAGTCATTATTCAGAATCTATATATACTGTATATAATTGCATCCGGTAACATCATGCTCTTGTCTAAGTTTTTAATGAACCCTTTAAGAAGCTTTTGGAATATTTTTACCATATTTTTACCATCCTGACTAAAGGTTTTAAGTTTAAGCTTTGACTTTCAGCAAACAAAAATAAAATACACAAAATTCACAGACTGATTTGTATTGCAAGTGTTGATCAAAATCTGTATACTTTTAAAAAACAATATCAGTACATTTTAACTAATTAAGAACACTATCAAAATCTGTGTGAAATACTTTTACTTTTTACTCTTAAAGGACATTTTTAAACAAGTACTTTAATATTTTTACTTAGACTTACGTAGATTTTTTCTCATGTGATAGTTTTACTTGAGTAATTTTTTGCCTCTGTACTTTTACTTAGAGTACTTCTTCCACCACTGGTTTTGACCTCTACAAACTTGAAATTTATGGAATTGTATTAGTTTATTAGTTAGTTAGTTTCAGTCTTCTCTCAAATATTAATGTTCCAGGAGATGTTTAGTCTACTCCTCGTGTGTGGGTTTACCTGTCCACTGTTGGCATAGTCGTCCACGGTGAGGGACATGTCCAGTCTCAAAGCCAAACCGAAGTCACACAGAGCGCAGTCCTGTCTGCTCTTCACCACAATATTACTGCTCTTCAGGTCTCTGTGGGCGATGGGCACCTGCCAAAACAAAACAATACAAAAGTCAATGGCAGGGGTGTCAGATTGGGGGGTACTGTTTACCCAGTGCTCAGAGCAGGGAGGGACCTTTTATAAAAATCTGTTATATCATATAAAGAACATGTAAACGAGCCAAGATGATGATTTGTTCTCAGGGTCCAGAATTTTGTTGTACACCGCTGATAAATGTCACAACAACAGCATCATTTTGACTTTGGTAGTATTTGGAAGCAGAGGAGGGAGAGTGAATGTGTGTTACAGACAGTGGTGGAACATTATGAAATAAAAGTAGTAAAGTACTGTCATTAGTATAAGTAACAAGTAAAAAAAAAGAGGTGTCTGTACTTTACTTAATTACATTTTGAAGAGAATACTTTTTACTTTTACTTCAATACATCAGAGAGCAACTATTTGTACTTTCTACTCCACTACAGTTTTGAACAGGGCTGAAAAGTAAAAGTATTTTTATTATTGTTTGAAACCTGCTGAAAATGCTGAGGGTTTATTTTCAATCAAGGTCATAGTTTGTGAAAATAAAAATATACAATTAAAAACAGCTCAAGTAACAAAATTGAGTACCATATTTTTCGGACTATAAGTGTTACCTTTTTCATGGTTTGGGTGTTTCCTGCAACTTATACTCAGGTGCAACTTATATATTAAAATTTTCACACTGACAGCCTCGAGAGGGCACTCTAGTCTTTTGTGTCAGTATCAGCTGCTCCTATTACTCCTGTACCACTGTCAATTGGCTCTACTGCACATCTCCAGCAGAAAGAGCCTCTGTCCTGTCTGTATCTTGTCAGTTGATCGCACCATTACTTCTGTACCACTGAACATTTTAAATTTAAGTGACTTCAGTGACACCGAAACCATCCTGTCAGGATTCAGAAAGACCGGGATAATTCTAACTGTATCTGATGCTGAGTCTGATGACAGCTACACAGAAGAGGACGCGGTGCTGTGTTTACCTCTGGAGTTCGTGGAGTTGCTCAGAAGTGACACAGAGGATGAAGAATTGAATGGATTTAGTGATTTGGAGATGGAGAGTTTGTTAAACTTGTTCTGTTGTTTATGTTATAGTTTATCTGAAGAACTGTTCATATGACATTAACAGTCTGTTGTTCTTTCTTCTATTGTTATTACTAGAACTTGACTTTCAAGATGCAAAAGTGTAACTTATAGTCTGGTGTGACTTATATTTTTTTCTTCTTCATTACGCATTTTTTGGCTGGTGCAACTTATAGTCCTGAGGGACTTATAGTCCACAAAATACAATACTTTTTCCACTACTGGGTACAGATAATGTAGAGCACAGGTGTCAAACATAAGGCCTGGGGGCCAGATTCGGCCCTCCAAGACCTTTAATGTGGCCCTTGGGTGATTTTCTACTAAAATATTTAAAATGTTGAAATTGAATTTTTCTTAAAGTTTCAGGTTGTTCATAATATTATAATATTATAATCAGAAGAGTTCATCAATTAAAAAATATTTCTGTAATAGTTTTGCGTTTCTCTGCACAAATATTTATTGTCATTTTTGGGGTATATATGCCATGAGTTTTCTGATCCAGCCCCTTTGGGATCAAAGTAGGTTGGATACGGCCCCCGGACCAAAATGAGTTTGACACCTCTGATGTAGAGGAAGCAGAGGAGAGGGTGAGACAGAGCAGAAGATGGAGTTTGAAGCATATTTTTAAAACTTGAAACCTGTCTATTTACCTTGGGGACCCCTGTTGGCGTAGTATCACTGTGAAGATGCGCTAACCCTTTCGCAACGCTGCTGCCCATCAATATCAGCTCCTCCCAGTTTAGTGTATTCTCAGTCAGAAACTCCTGCAGATTTCCAAGACTGTGATAGGCCAGAACCAGCCAGTACTTCCTGTGGGCGTGTCCTGGCCCGCCCCTTTCCTCCGCAGCCAAAAAAGTCACTATATTTTCATGCTGGACTTTTGGATCTGAGAAAATCGAACATTCGTTTCTCCATGACGCGTACTCCATGGCGGGGAAAACTTTGACAGCTACCGTTTCGTGAGAATTCGTTTTGTCGCTTTGAACCAATCGACCTTTCCACACTTCTGCAAATCGACCTTTTCCAACCAAAGTCTCCAGTTTAATCGGTAGAGGCGTCGTCAGCTTTCCTTGCCATTCGATAACATCTCTAATACCGTTGTTGATAACTGGTATTTTTGCATTGGAGTCTTCGATCTGTTGTAAAGAATTGGTGACGCTTTCCCCACACTCCGCTTGGCGTCCACAGGGAGGGTCCAGGGCTTGATACAGCTCGTGGGGGGGTTTGGCGGGCCACTCGGGGCGCGCTGGAGGGCCCGGTTTGCCAAAGCGGCGAGTGCGGTAGATGTAAAAGGCCATGGAAGCGACTAAAGCTACTAAAACAGGAGGCACCAGGCTCACCAGGACCACGGGGATCACCTCTTTACTCTGCAGCTTTGAGAAACCTGCAAGATAACAGACAAAGCATAAATTAAAGGGCCTCTGTTACTCTATTATTATGTTCTAATGTTGTTTCCTCATTAGGGATGTAACAATAATCGAAATATTCTGATATCGTATCATCAGAAGTCTCACAGTAATATCGTGGGTCATCACAATATATCGAATCTCAAGTGTCTTTGCCTAATTTCATTGTTTTAGTGCTGCAACAGCTAAAAAACTATATAGACCATGATCCTTTGCTCTGTTTCAGTCCAAACAACACGCTGAAATAACTGTTATGATGCCCTTTCAAATCTTAATTATTTGGATTGCGATGAAAGAAAAGTAGCATACTTAAAATTATTATTTTTTATCTTTTTTTTTTTCCCTCCACAGAATTTCACAATAAATATCGTACGGTGAGAAGGGAGTGGTTCCAAATCATAAAAATTTTAGGGCTGGGCAAAAATGAAAATGAAAATTGGGGTAGGGGGTTGCGACGAAGCAATTGACTGTGCGGCGGTGCCCCCAAAAGCACTTGGTGTCAAACGCTGTGTGTTTATGTGCGTGTGTGGAGTGACACGTTGCATCTCATGTGGTCGCCCAAAGCCTCGCTCCACTTGTTTCATTGAACGATTTGCATCAACGGAGTGTATTGCATTTAGTTGGTATTTTAGACTCGTGAAACTCTGGTGATAAGACAGTTCAGTGTTGCAGTGTTACAAATGACTTTGTTTGTGTTGACTGCACCGTTTAAAGAACTTTAAAATGAAAATGACCATGTAAAAGTTCCTCACCCTTCTCCATGTTTGTTTATCCTGTTTTCTTTCTCTCTGTTTTCTGTGAGCGCCGCAGCAGTAAGCAACATTCTAGACTCGCTCAAGATGGACTTTTTCAAAATAAAAGCCAGTGAGCAACAGATGTTTATAATACAAAAATAAATAATAAAAACTGCTTTAAGGAGAGAAAAATAATTATCGGCGATAATTAATTACTTAGTTAATGTAAAATGAATGCGTTAACATGCCCGGCCTTAAAACATTTCAATGACATGTTTTGACATGTATGACCTGGAGTCTGAATTTGTTCAATAAAGACGCAAGTACAGAACAGTGGGCAGGGATAGGGGGTAGGTGAAAGTGGGAATTGTCACTCAAGCCTTGTGCAGGACAATAAAGGATTATTTAAAGATGCATACAACTTGAAATACAACTCTAGGCTTAAAGGTCAGGGCACAATTTTCCATGACATGTCCCCTTTAATATCATTGATCCCAAATGCTCCAAAACATTTTAGCAAACTCACTTTCATCCCTGTTCTAAAGTTGACAGTATGAGTTTACCATTGGCTCCTTTATCAAAGATGAGTCTGTCGTTGCATTCGTGCTCTCCTTTGCAGCCGCAGACCATCATAGCGCCCTCTGCTGTTGGCTGAGAAACCATGTGACATTCTCTGGAGCTGACATTCAGGAGCACGGCTTGGTCCACGCCCTCTAGTGGCACAGCCGGGTGATGACACATGGTCTGCACAGTCATGGTCTCGTTGGATTTCCTCCTAAATAAAGAAAAAAAATCCATCAAACTTATGGTTCATTGAGTATGACAATCTCATCAAAAATCACACATTTTGTCACAGGATCAGAACACGATTTTTCATTTTCACTAATCACCAAAAGTTAATAAGAAAGAATGCATTTGGAAAACGCAACAAAACGCTTAAGTACCTATCTTAAAGACCCTATATTACACAAAATTGCCTTTTGTGAGTTTTAAGAGCCATGTCAAAAACATTCCCAGAGCTGTGTTTTGTTTGATTCATGCATGTTTCAGTAAGCTTGCAAAAGGATGGGCGATATCTCGATATTTTAAATATATCGAGATATTTTTTAAACATGAACTGGATTCTGACATATCGTATATATCAATATAATGCTTAGAATTAATTGATTTCACAGGTTCGCATATTGGCCTTCTCCGTGCTTTCCCCGCCTCCTTGCTTTTGTTACACTGCAAAAAATTAAATCTAGTCAAGTTCAGATGACTTGAATTAAGAAAGTTTGATCATGATTTAGGTAAATTTCATTTGACAAGTAAAATTATCTGTGAGTGGAACAAGACTTTTTGTAGTTAAAATATGAAAATACATTTGGAAACAATTAAAATCAGAAAAACAACAACTTTTTGCACTTAAAATAAGAAACAAAATTGAATGTTGCTTGAATTAAAGTTATTAAACTGTTACTACTTTCGTAATTTAAGTCAATTTTAACTTACCTTGAATTTAAGTATCCCTGTGTTGTGCACATATAAAAGAATGTTGTATCAAACTTTATATATATGCTTTATATGTTGTAAACTGCTGCAAAAACTTGTACAATAGTGTTTGGATACGTTCGATTTGATCTGAGCAATGGCTTGTGGGATGCCTCAAAGCTCCTTACTGCTGGTTAATAACATGGACCTATTAAAATACATTTGGCATATTTGTTTTTGCAGTAGTTTGGGGGGGTTATTTTTCCTGTACAAATATCGAGATATATATATCGTATATCGAGATATAGCAAAATATATCAAGATATATTTTTTGCTCCATATCGCCCAGCCCTAACCCTGCATCATTAGTGATCCAGATGATTGTAGTGAAAATGTGTAGAGTTTAAAAACACAGTGGAGAGCTTCCTGTAATAACAAGTGTTTACTGTTTGAGAGAAGAACTCAGCCTAAATCTGCAGAGTTTGTGTGTTAAACATGTGTGAATGAAACAAAACACAACTCCAGGTATGTTTGTGATGAGGAAACTACATTATAACATAGAAGATTAGTCTAATTGTCAAAAATCTGAGCTGGTAATTTGTTGAAACTATACATAATATAAAGTGAAGTATCTGAGGGTTTCAGAGTGATGAAAAATCCTGGAACAGTTTGAATTTTGGAAAAGTAAAAACCGCCAAAGCTTCTCGATGTGACCAAAACCAAAACAGCCTTTTATGGGGTGAAAAAGCAGAAGAATATTCACTAAGGGGAAATTAAAGGAAAGTTGTGGTGTAGTGATTGCGGTTGCTGGGTAAATCTGCTGAACTTTGGCCTAAATAAAAAGCAAACCGGGGCCGTAAGTTGCCCTGGTTCTGCTCTGGTTCAGCTGTCTCTTATCACCGAGGCCTGGGAGGGTCTGATCCACAGGAAATGAGATGGGGACTCCCAGAATCCACCCACCAGCGCAACACAAGCAGGCAGTAAGCAAGACTCTGCAAGAAAGAGCTACTACAGGAATATAATGGAAAACATATGTGTATTTGTGCAAAGCAAGCGAGTTTGGAGAAAGCACTACAGGGCGGTTTAGTCATCCGCAAAAACAAAAACTGACTTGAAAACACAACACATCAAAAGACTCTATATTTGATTTGTATTGTCTTAAAAGCTAAAAAAACAAACAAAAGGAGTTCATTGTAAACAGTTTGTAGAGGTCCAAAGTTATCCCTCACTTACCGTACGCATTCTGAGCATCCACATTATTCACGGTTTTGAGTTTATAAGAGCTTTTCACTTATTTTGACCTAAGTCAGTTTTGCTCAAGTACACGGTTTAAAGATTAGAAGCAAATTTAGACTAAAAATGGACTAGACCGCGATTAATCCAGGACTAAGCGAGCGTTCACACATTTGTAGACTTGTTTTGTGGTTGTTCTAGTCCTGGTCTAGTCCAAATTGAGTTCTGCTGATTCCCAGTTGTGATGTGACTGTGTGAATGCGCCTTAAACACGACTAAATCAAAGTGGACTGTATAGCAGAACTGGAGTGGGATCAAACCAGGATCAAGTTAGAACTCACGGACTTACACTTGGATAATTTATCTTCATTATCAATCAAAAATAGGGGTGTAACGGTGCATGTATTCGTGCCGAACCGTGACGTTGGGTTCGGTGCAGGGCTGTGTGCGAATGAGTCTGTGCAATTTGTGTCAAAGTTGTTCATTTAGTCTTCTTATGTACTTTAACTTCTTGGGTTCTTTGTAAAGGCAATTCAGAACTGTCTCCGGTGTTGGTGGTGACGTATATCAGCTGTTGTTACTAGTTCTGAAGATGGTTTGCAGCAAGCAGCCGAAACATGTCAACAAGGTAAATACACTTTACTGTATTGTCTTTAAAAAGAACCCAAGAAGTTATCGTGCAGTTTGTGTGTGTTTACATTCCTCTACTACTACTTCTACAGCTACACGGAAGGCTCGGCTCTTTAATATTCATGAGGGAACTTGTCTGTGACTGCAGCAGCTGTTTCCCACAGTGCTTTATAGTTAGTGATGGCATGTTTTTTTTTTGTGTTAGTTAAAGGACAAACAAGCTTCATGTAAGGAATAGGAGAAGTCTGTTATTTCCTAAAATTATGTTAAGGGATGTTTGTGGACCCCAATAGACCATTTGTTGTTGCTAAAGTTAAGTTGTCACAGTACACCTTTACGACTACAGTTGTTGCTTGACCATGTATTGATCAGTCTGTTTGACATGAGCCTCACACCTGTTGTTTACCACCAGTGTCGTTGCATGTCGGCAGTAGAGCCAGAGCTCTGTGTGTTTGTATTGAACCTTCAGAAAACGCTCTTGTGGTCCTCACTTCTTTTCTTATACAGCAACCAGAAAGTCATGATATCAGTTAGGGCGGCCGCCTTGACAACAATTGCCCCGCGCTTTGACTATGACCTTCGTGAATCCTCGCAAAACTACAGTCGTCGCGCCCTGGTCCTCACTTTCGCCTTTTGCTGGCATCGTATTTTCAACTGTTGGGGACGTTGTAACTGCAGCAGATCTGCACTTACTGCAGACACTGTGAAGTTGTCAAGTTGTTTTTTTCTTACCAAAAATATGAAGATTGAGTAAAAGTTCATGCTGGAACTGTTAGTGCTGCGCGTTACTTTTTTGAAAAGTTTTGTTTACTGTTTACAAGAAATTCATTTTTATAACATTTCATACATTTGTTACTTATTTGAGAATATTTTATTTAACTTATTAGTATTACCAAGCAGCTCTTTGCATTTATTTAATTTTCCCGTTTGTATAATGTTAAAACAAATTGTTGGTTTAAAAAAAACACAAATAAACAACAAGTAAATAGTTTTGCATTTTGTTCTCAAACTGTACTGAAAATGAACCAAAACATGACCTCAAAACCGAGAGCGTGATTTTCGTCTATCATTACACCCCTAATCAAAACCAAACACAAAATAAAAATATGAATAGATATAATGCCTTTGTCAAAGTTTTAAGGTGCACTGTGTCACTTTTCCACCACCTTCTTGTCTCCATGGAGATGTTATTGCTTTGTCTGTTCCAGAAGTAGATACTGAATTTATTTTTTGGCATTGTTGGAGACAAGCAGCCAGTGTGACCAGGCCGAAGTCAGGTCAGGCACCACCCTCACAGTAACAGTGTTTTTCCAGTGTATTTTAATCTTCATAAAAGAACCTGTCATTGATGAAGAGCATGAAGACCTATACTGTGTGGGTTAGTCTTGGTCTAGTCCTGATTTGGCCCTGTTTCAGTCCTGGTTGAGTTCTGGTTTAGACCTGCAGCTTGCGGTCCCACACGAAAGCTGCATCAGCACTTTTTTTCATTAGGATATTCAGGGTTTGTTTGAAGTTCAAGTTGCGGTTGTTGTCCCTGAAATGGGCCCCTTCTTAGTTTCAGCTCTGGAAAACTCGAGAGAAAACACAACTCAAGGGAGGAAACTTTAAGATACAGAGAGAAAGAGAGAGGGAGGAGGAGAGAGAGAGAGAGAGAGAGAGGGAGGAGAGAGAGAGAGAGGGAGGAGGAGAGAGAGAGAGAGAGAGAGGAGGGAGGGAGAGAGAGAGGAGGGAGAGAGAGAGAGGAGAGGGAGAGAGAAGAGAGAGGAGAGAGAGGAGAGAGAGAGAGAGAGAGAGGAGGAGAGGAGAGAGAGAGAGAGAGAGAGAGGGAGGGAGAGGGAGAGAGAGAGAGAGAGAGAGAGAGGAGAGAGAGAGAGAGAGAGAGAGAGAGGAGGGACGGTGGGAGAGAGAAAGAGAGAAGGGGGATACAAAAAGAAAGGAGGGAGAGAGAGGGAAAGAAAGAGAGAGGAGAGAGGGATGCAGAAAGAGAGAGGAGAGAAAAAGAGGGAGGGGGAGGGGAGAGAGAGAAAGACAGTGGGGAGAGAAAAAGAGGGGGAGAGAGGGGGAGGGAGAAAAAAGAGATAGGGGCAGAGGTGAGAGAGGGAGAGAAAGGAGGGGGAAGAGAGAAAGAGAGAGAGAGAAAGAGGGGAGGAGAGAGAAAGGGGAGAGGGAGAGAGACAGTGGGGAGAGAGAAAGAGAGCGGGGGGAATACAGAAAGAGAGAGGAGGGAGAGAAAGAGAGAGGAGAGAGAGAAAGAGAGGAGAGAGGGATGCGGAAAGAGAGGAGAGAAAGAGAAGAAGGGGGGAGAGAGAGAGAGAAAGAGAGAGAGAAAATAAAGACAGTGGGGGGAGAGAAAGGGGGGAAAAGGGGGAAAGCAACAGGGGGAGGAAGAGAGAAAGAAAGAGAGGGCAGAGGAGAGAGAGGGAGAGAAAGGAGGGGGAAGAGAGAGAGGAGAGAGGGAGACAGTGGGGAGAGAAAGGGGGAGAGAGAGGAGGGGGTTGGGAGAGAAAGAGAGAGAAAGAGAGAGGGGAAGGGAGAAAGAGAGAGAAAGAAAATGAGAAAGGGAAAGGGGGAGAGAGAGAGGGAGGGGGCAGGGTATGAGTGATACTTGGGGGATGGAGGAGAGAAAGCGAGAGAGAGCTTTATCCAAACAAAAACAAAGAAAATTATAATGTAAGTGGCAGCAGGGAAAAAGTGATAGTTAAACTTTTCAAACCTGACAACATTTGCCTTTTCACTTGATGTATGATACAGAACTTTGTACACACAGAAAAAGAACTTAAAAGGTCTGAAACAGCACTAAACAAGAACTAAGACAAGACCAGCAATTCTTTATTATTTCTGTCCATTATTTTCCTTCAAGATTTGGACTCAAAACGCTAAGGCAGAGATGTTACCAGGACATTGTCTCTGCACACTGTGACCTGGACTAAACCAGGACGAAACCAGGACTAAACCAGGACGAAACCAGGACTAAACTAGGTCTAAACCAAGTCTAAATCAGGACTAAATCAGGATTAAACCAGAAATAAACCAGGACTAAAACAGCTCTAAACCCGGACTAAATCAGGACTAAACTAGGACTAAATCATTGCTAATTAAACCAGGAATAAAACAAGAATAAATCAGGACTAAACTAGGTTCAAACCAGGACTAAACCAGGGCTAAACTAGAACTAAATCAAGATTAAACTAGGTCTAAACCAGAACCAAACCAGGTCTAAACCAGGCCTAAATCAGGTCTAAACCAGGACTAAATCAGGACTAAACTAGGAATAAACTAGGTCTACACCAGGATTAAACCAGGACCAAATCAGGACTAAACTAGGACTAAATCAGGACTAAAATAGGAATAAACCAGGACTAAACAGGACTAAACTAGGTCTAAACCAGGACTAAACCAGAAATAAAACAGGACTAAAACAAGTCTAAATCAGGACTAAATCAGGACTAGACTACGTCTAAACCAGGGCTAATTAAACCAGGAATAAACCAGGACTAAACCAGGACTTAAACAGGTCTAAACCAGGACTAAATCAGAACTAAACCAGGTCTAAACCTGGAATAAAGCAGGATTAAATCAGGACTAAACTAGGTTCAAACCAGGACTAAACCAGGTCTAAACCAGATCTAAACTCACCATATTGCGATGCAGATCTCCTCGGTGCTGGAGCAGAAGGAGGACAGGCTGCAGTTGCTCACACACACACTGTCTCTGCAGATCGGACTGGACACTTCACACCAGCGACACACGTTGAAGCTCAGGTGAGTGAAGCCCTCCACCGCAAACAAGCCTGACCAAGACACAACATCTGTTACACATTTTAAAATCATAAATTCATTTGTAATTACCAATATCGCGAGGGGTATTTTATGGTATAGCAGCTAACACTTTTATTACATCTGGTAAAGGTTCACTGTAAATATCAATATTTATCTATTTATTATTCAGTTAGTGTTAATTATGCACTGTTTTATTGTAAATAAATATTTTGGCCCGTGACCGAGAAATTAACCACATGACTCTCAATCCTACACAAGCCCCAAAACCATGGATCTATAAGAATATAACAAGAGTAATGAGAAAAATAAGTAATAATGAGAATAAGAATAAAAGTAATTTAAAATTTTTGGGAGTGGCAGCGATCAGAACCAGGGCTGGGTATCATTAAGAAGTTGCCGATACGATACATACCTCGATACATAGGCCACGATACGATACATGTCTCGATACAGTGCATTTTTGATTCGATACGATTCAATAAAAAATAAAGGATAAATCATGGCTGTGATACTAAAAGTCTTTGTTAAACCACTTCTTGCACAAAGTTCTTATGAAACACAAACATTTTAATCATCAAAATGGTGAAAATCAAATGTGTTGCAAATGTGTCGCTTAAGTTCCCTTCCATTAAACAAGCAACAAAACTGTAGCACTGTAACAAAATAATTGAGTAAAATATAAAATAAATACGTAAAATACTACAAATACTCCTGGTGATACATCGATACAGCAGCTCATGATACCGATACTGTATCATCACATTAAATGATACGATATATCGATACTTTGATATTTTTTATGACATTTATATCGTTATTGCCATAAGTCTTGTTTTTGTTTTGCTCTGTTAACTTCAAACTATAAATATTCTTATTACTACACTACAAATTTCTGTATTATTGTAATTCACCAGGGCTCTTCGTCTTCTACTTACTGCACCTTCTCTCACATTATTATCTCATTTGAAGTTTGAGTTTGAAATTTGAGTGCAAAATGTGCTTTAGAGCTGAGTTACACCTTTGAAGAGAGATTACGGCTTTTTCCAACAAAAATGTTACTGAAAATACTGTAAAATAATGCTATTTGAAAGGGACTGTTGTAGCTCCAGCTAAGTAAATTCTTTCTGGTGAGATTGCGTTAAAACAAAGCTCAGATTAAAGTCTATCTTGAGTAACAGCTTCAGACAGAGCAGTGCCTAACAACATCACACCTTCAGAGAATGTTGATGACATCAGCTGCAAAGTATCAGTTAAAAATGCAACTGAACCAAATAAGGATTCATGTTTTATCATACTGCCCAGCCCTATAATTGCATACAGCTTTACTGTATTTTTCAGATTATAAGGCTCACTTCAAAGCCTTTAATTTTCTCAAAAATCGACAGTGTGCCTTATAATCCGATGTGCCTTATGTATTAATTCTGGTAATGCTTACTGACCTCGAATCGATTTTATGTAGTAGATGGAGCCCAAAAATCTGTCAAAATATTTTAGTATGACTTTGGTAAAATACGAATCCGCACCACTTGATGGACTGTCGGAGCATTACAGCTACCGAAGTCAGGAGCCACGAATCTGCCAATGGATCGTGGATGCCTGGGCTAGGGATCAGCCTCAAGTGTCGTCCGTTTGTTTTGCTTAATGCGTCTTATAATCCAATGCACCTCATGTATGAACATAGACGAGAGAATTTAACATTACTGATATTGCGCCTTATAATCCCGTGTGCCTTATAGTCCGAAAAATATGGGTACTCAAACAGGAATTTCTGTAGCTTTAAATCAACAGCTTTCTCTCAAGAACTCTTTGAAGTGTCTCCTTTATCGCTGTAAACATATTAAATTTCCAGTCCACACGCGCTCATAAAACACAAGCCTTCATCCACCCACTGCCTCATAACTACATTCAATATTCACATAAACTGCTTTGTATAGAATCTAAAGCACTTTAATACTATCTACACCTTCAGCAAGGACTCAGAAATAAAGGAAACAAAACTAGTCTGAAGCAGAACTGAATCCAGATCCAAACATGGTCTACATCAGATTTAAAAGTGCAACTTTTCTGGCGGAGTATCCTTCAAATGCTTTTGTTATTGTTTTGTCTGGAATGTTTCACAGTACAGCTTTAAACCTTTCTATCTTCATGGAGACTAAACCAGACCAAGTTACAGGTCAGATCTGTGGAGAGGCGATCCTGCTCACAGTCAGTCTAGGTATGTTTGAGTGATAAAACCACCTGTAATTGAATAAATGTAAGGTAGAGCTGTTTAATGTCATACTGTGGAACATTCCAGGCAGAGCAATGACATCTCCAGGGAAACAAGTCGGTTCTATGGTTCAAGTCCATTTCTAGAACTGGTTTTGCCTTTGCCTGTGATCCAGAATACACATGCTGAATCAGTATATTGACTTATCGTTCAATACATGAAAGCAAAACGATGGTCGTTGCACCCAGGTCCTCACTTTCGCTGTTCGCCAGCACAGAATCTCTGCCCCCCCAATTTTCCCATTTATATAATGTTAAAACAAATAGTTTAATAAACACACAATTAAACAACAAGCAGATGGTTTTGCATTTTGTTCTCATACTGTACCAAAAACGAACCTAACTGTGACCTCATATCAAACTGTGATTTTTGTGTGACATTACACCCCTAGTATAGTTATATTTACAGTATATTTAAAAATGTGTTTACTGGGATTCTCCTTCTTTGTTCCATTTGCATAAAGAAGTTTCAGTATTATCGTTTATTGCAATATTTCTCTGTAGCGAGATATCATGCTTCAAAATGTGTTGTGTGACAGGACTGTCTGAGTCTGGTTAGCGCGGTGAATCTCCCAGCTTTCAGATAAGTGTGAATGACAGGTGGATTAGCCAATCAGGAACAAGCATGGTCAGTCAATATCAACACAAATATGGCTACTTATGAGGAAAAAAGAAAGGGAAAAAAATCTATCATACGGAACTGAAAAACAATGTGGATTTCTGCAGATTGAATAAGTGAAGCCCAGTACTTTGTTAATAATGCTGTATGTAACTTTTTGGTTTGGGGGTCCATCACCTGCTTGTTTCTACGAATATGCCATTGCTCTGCCTCGAATGTTCCAGAGTATGACATTATGCAGCTCTACTTTACATTTATTCAATTACAGGTGTTTTTTTTAGCTTAAAAATACACAAAAACAGGTATTCTGACTGTGAGCGGGGTCGCCTCTCTCCACAGATCTGACCCATAAGCATTTAACGGAAACTCCGCCGGAAAAGTTACACAATGCACTTTTAATCTGAGGTGAAAGGGACATCATTTTGTCTGTAAATAATAGATGACCAATGAGCTCCTTCATTTTAAATATGTCACTGAAAAAAGGAATCGGATTGGACGATGATGTTTGACTCGAGACGTATGTAAGAATGTGTACAAAAATACAGAGAACTATGATTCTGGATATGCTTATAGTCCTAGTAAATCCATAATGATCCCCAGTTTTCCTCGGCTTTTAAATCTCAGTTTAGTCCTTTTCTTCTCTGATACGTTCGGGCCGTTTATCAGCCCAGACACGGCTTTTGAATCACTGTGTACGTTTGAGAGCGGGTCGAGAGAAATGCAGCTGAAATGCATATGTGAGTTGTTTGCCTCCAGAAATAAATTAAAGCCAGAACTGCGCTACAAAATATGAGCCAAGTGAGCAGCCAAAACCACGCCCTCTAAGGATTATGGGAAATCTTGGAGACGCAGCCCATACCGCACAGTAAAAAGCTGCCTGAACCGACTCACTGTAAACTCACTGTTTACAAGTGGAACTGGTTTAGGGGAGCGTTGGTACATAGCTGTTTGCTGACTGTATTTTCTTATACATTTGCATCAAAAAGTGCAAAATAACTGAAATGAACAGAAGACAAATGCAGAAAAAGCCAAGTTTCGAAATGATACTTTGCAGAGACATCACGCTGGGGAGTCTACATGTATGTCTATGGCAGAATGTTACCAATAAACACATTAGCGCATTCAACCGAAAAGTGAGTATTGAGAAAATGAGTATTTAATTGCAATGTATTTTTATTTTAGTTTGTTCGTTTTTAAATGTAATTCGAAATTTGTAGATAATGGTTCAGTTTTTAGCAAGTTTTTAGTAATTTGTGTCCCAGCTGCCGATGTGTGACATTCAATACCGGTCAAAAGTTTTAGAACACCATATTTTTTCCAATTTTAAGTTTACTGTTGACCAAAACGTATTCTAAACTTTAGATTGATGAAAGTGTCCACCTTTGGCAGATAGAACAGCTGAACACACTCGTGGTTCATTCTTTTTACAATAGAAATCAAATATTGTGCAGAAAGGTCTTCCCAAGTCTGTTGCAGAAGTTTCGATAAATGTGTGGCACTTGCAGGTTGCTTCACTCTTCTGTCCAGTTCATCCCAAACCAGCTCGATGGGGTTTAAGTCTGGACACTGTGCCGGACACTCCATGTTTTCAAGTTTACCATCTTGTTCTTTTTTCCTGAGGTAGTTCAAGCTCTTCACTGGACTTGCACGACTTCAATTGCAATAAAGAACTGGAAAAATTCGGGTTTTCTGAAACTTTTGACCTGTAGTGTATCTGGCAGCTCGGACTTACGGGCACATACACCTGCAGCATGATTTATTGAGCTTTTCAGCCCCATCATTTAGGTAAATGATGGATAAATCCAAGAAAAGAAAAGTTTCTGAAGAACACAGAACGTTTAATGCTACGTGGTCAGATTCACGCACGCTCCAGTACACTCGATAAAATGATGACGGAACACAGAGGCAGATGGTTTTTGGTTCACTGCAGGAGGATAATTTAAGTTTAGATTTTTATTTCCTACGAACTCAACTAGACATTGACTATTTCATTTGAAAATAAGCATCAACCAAGTGTCTTTTTTTGGAATTCAAAATCTTTTTGTCACATGCAGAAATAAAATTCTGTGTTCTCTGTAGCATTTCACTGATTTCATAAATGCAACACACTATAGTCTTTCATAAAGAGCAGACAGGTTAAAAAAAAAATTATAATAAAGATATGCAGTGTTCTTCTCATTTTAGAGCTTGTTTACACGAGAATGCTTGCGGGTAAAAACAACAAAATATTTTAGCGGAAGTGCCTTTTGTTTAGATGGTGATGGCGTTTTTGGGGCTTAAAAATGCAAAAATCTGAAACCACCCTCCAGAGTGAAAAAGTTGAATAGGCTCCACTGTAGTGTTTCTGTCTACACTGCCCAAGACACAAAACTCTGGTCAGATCTGCTCAGGTCGTGTACGTGTTTACGTCACATACAGTACACAGAAACAAACATCAGATGACATGCGTACCCAATCAAATTCCACACACTTTTGCTTTAACGTATGCACGCAGATTTCCTCCCAAAAAAGCTCATCTAAATGCGGAATAAAAAGTGAAGACGCCACACCACTTTTACGTCTTCTGTTCAGACCCTCATCATATAAACGTAGCCTTAAAGTCGATGGGTTTTGTGGCTCCGGGTGTTTTCTTTTCTGTGGGAGACGCTCCGAATGGCTCTTTGAGTATTTAAATTTGCTGACCACTGAGAAAACTCAAGAAAAAAAAAAACAAAATGGATTTAAACAGCACATTTTCAGCAGCCCGGATCAATGCAGAAGGTTTATGGCCCCATGAGGTGAGCATAGTGACTAATTGAAAAGCTGGTGGCAAAGCTTGCTTGCTTGCTTGCAACTGTATTGTTATTTGAGAGGGATGTCACAAGTAGTCAGTTAAAACAAAGCTCATATTCAATCTTGAGTAACAGAGCTTCAGACAGAGCAGTGCCTACAGTTAGTATCGCACCCCCAGGGAATGTTTACGATCAGACGCAAAGTAAGAAAGTATGAATTTAATTAAAAACAATCAAAAAACAAACAAACAAACAAAAATTCATATCAGACAATATTAAGGGTGTGCAAATATATAAAAATATAAATATATAGTATTGTTTAATGTGATGATTATTGAGTTTTTTTGGGGGTTTTTTTTGTATATTTTACTAAATTTAATTGTTACAGTTTTACAGTTTTATTGTTTGTTCAGAGGAAGTGACTCATTTGACATTTTCACTGTTTTGATCATTAAAATGTTTGTGATTCATATGAACTTTGCACAAGAAGAGGTTTAACAAAGACTTTTAGTAGCACAGTCATGATTTAACTTTTAGTTTTAATTGAACCGTATCGAATCTATTTGAAATATGTCGTATCGAATCAAAAGTGCACTGTATCGGGATATGTATCGTATCGTGGCCTATGTATCAAGGTATGTATCGTATCAGCAACTTACAACAACAATACAACTACAATATACTCATCTTCCAATTACATCACAACTGAAATTATCATTGAAAAATCACTCACAATGATCAAAAAGAAGTCATTAGGGGGAAAAAGAAAGAAAAAAAAAGTGAATAGAAATCATACAAATAAAAGAATAAAACTGTGTCTAAATTGATGGCCTGTAGTGAATAGTGAACTTGTGAAGGCCTATTAAACACCCATTATCTCCAGTTGAACAAAGGCCAGTGTGTGAGCTGTGGATCTGAGGACACTGGAGAACACAGAGGCTGGTACTCTCAAAATGTGCTCGGGTTTTATGTGGGCCAGTGGACACAAGACTGCACAACTCAGTGACTTAAAGCGCATTTGACAGATTCATATATTTTTCCAGTTCTGACTTGGTTTGATGGGATTGGATGTGTGGTCAGTTTGTGAAGAAAAGTTGTAAAAGTAGGAAAAGGAAGTGTCATCAAACGTCATCAGTTCCATCCAAAATGCAAGGAAGGCATTTTTTATTGACCGTTTAAACATTGATTTAAAGGTGCATTGTGTAACTGTTCTGGTAGAGAGTTGTTATTCATTTGTCTGGGATGTTTCACAGTATGGCTTTAAACCTTCCTATCTTGTCGACCAAACCAGACCAAGTTACAGGTCAGATCTGTGGAGAGGCAGCCACACTGACAGTCAGAATTCCTGTTTTGTAGGAGTTTTTGAGCTATACAACCACTTGTATCTAAGGCCCCGTCCACACTAGTACACATTTGAGTAGTTTTCGTTGCGGATGCAGTGTTTGTTCACACTAATCCGATTGAAAACAGCTCCAGAGATAGAATGATCTGGTGCTGCCACCTCCCACGAATTTATCTGAGTACGGATTTGATCCGGCACTGTGTGGATGCCTGAAAATGTTGATACGCTGATGTAGGTCTGCTGCGAAGTAATTCACCGCCAAAATGCTAAGAGGCTAGAATATATATCCATTCATATATACGGTCTGTGTGTACGACCTGCAGATGTTTAATCTCTGAAAAGTTTCACATGAACCATCTCCAACGCGACAGAAGCACAGAACAGACTCACCATCAGCAGAACACCCCTCTGTCACA